GAGAAATCTCCTACTTAAAGAAAACAACCAAACTCATCAATTTCTCGTTTCTCCAACATTTGGTATTTCTGTGAGGGAAAAAAAAGCTTATAGGCCCTACCCAAATGAAACAAAATTAACGCAGGCTCACATTTTTAAAAACATTTTTTTTTCTTTTCGGACAAGAATGCCATCATCTGCTCTGTCTTGTTTTTTTTTTAACTTGACCTTACGATTTTTGAATGACATGAACAAAAGCTAAAACATTCCAGATAGATATTTTTTTAAACAATATTTTTATGAAATTTTTAGTAATTCTATCTATATAACCTTTTGAGCTAAATGCAGTTATGGTCCGAATCAATTATTGCAATTTTTGTTTTTCAAAGAAAAACAATGGCATAACATAGTTGTTGATTTTTCGTTCAATCTATTCAAAAACTTATTCAAACACGTAGAGAAGAATATTAAAGAAGAAATTAAAAGCTAGTGAAATGGAAAGGGCATGTCACGTGACGTGTCTGCACGCCATCTTTGTTTTTGCAACATCCGGTCATCATGTGAAGATCGTTGACCGTGGAATAATTGATCTTTGTCCAGGATCTTGTAAACAAGATGGCAGTATTTCTTTCAACCTGCATTTTGTTTTGTAAATTGTATGTATTTCTTCTCGGCGGTTTTTGCCTATTCTAGGGGGGGGGGGGGGGAAAGTCACTTGGGGAGGGGGCGGGCGGACACATATTAAAGTATATGTTTTCTATATAACTTATATTTTTGTTTACTATTTATGTTCCGTGCCCACACACACCTTCCCACCTCCGAAGAGATGCATGAAAGAAACTATGAAGCCGACTGATCACAAATCTAACGAAAAAAACAACAACACAAAATACAAGTATTGAAAAGGAACCTATATAATTGTACGCCGCTTTTACTAAAGCTTACTAAATTATTTGTATTCAATAATATTAACAAAATTAGGCTTTACAATATGAATTATGTATTGTACTTTTTATTATTTTATTTGAATGACGACAGGTTAGTTAATTATCAATAGTATAATTATGCATTCAAAGTTAATTAATATATTTTTATTATTAAAAGCAGAACACAACTCACATATTTAATGGCGTGCATGATTTTACGCCGCTCAACAAATAAACTGGTATATCTTTGCAAAATTTTGTTAGTTTATTTTTGTGACTTTTTCGTTGTTTTTTTTTTTCTGACTTTTTTTTGTGGTGATTTCTTTAGTCTCCAAACGACTGACTTAAATTTCGTACCTTTTTTTCCTGTCACCGTATATTTTCTAGAACAAAGCATAAGATACTTGAGTTGATAATACCCACATATTTTTTGCAGCTGGTATCACCTTAAACGATTCTTCATCCTCGATCCCAACCCAAACCCTAGACAAAACTTTTACCCTCGGATGTTTTATGTAGGTAATTAGAACAATCAGGTTACTACAAGAAAACGATGCTGCGTCAAAGGACAACATCGTTCACTCCCCCCTCCCCTACAAACCCGACCCCACCCGTTAGACAATGACATAAGGACAAAACCCAAAATTATTATCATTAGCAAATTAAACACTAAAGAACACTATAATATAGTGAAATAGTTTCTTATCCAACACGTTTAACTTCATGTGATTAACCCCGGCCCTACCATATCCCCGCCCCTTGTAAAAAAAAAAAAAAAAAAAAGAATAGCTGAGGTTTTTTTTTTAATTTAAAAATGTATCTGATGAAAATTACAACGGATTTTGATGTATGTTTTATGATTCACTGAGACAGTTATTGGGAAGCCGAAGGAAAAAACCTGGGACGATTTTTTTATTGAAATATTTTACCAGCAGACGTCATTGTCTGGTTTACGGCCCTCTCTGTCTTGGATGGTGTAGAGAGGGTTAACGACATTACGTGACGTAACCGCCTCGTGTTTGAGCTTCTAATTTTGATGGCGTCAAGAATGAACGACATACTGTGACGTCAACGTGCGGTTTCCGTTCCGCTTCTTAGTCTCGCTTTAGTGGAGTAGAAAGGGTTAATTTTTCTGTGACGTCACTGGCGGGTGTTCGCTCCCGCCGGTCTCGTATCCGTGGTGATGAAAGAGTTAACGATATTGTGACACGTGGGAATGATGTAACTGTGAAGACCAGTTGTATTTTTATATAGGGCGGTAAGAGGGGGGGGGGGTTAGCTACAAGTAAGAGTTAAACGATTTAGCTCGGTATAAAAGTTAATTTGTTACTCTTTTACAAGTAACGATTCTTATTCTCATTTTAAAACGTAGGCATGTTTTTTTAATGTAACTATTTGGGCCAATTATATCTACTACAATGAAAATGCAGGTTTATTCCACATGTGTAGCGGATGGCGTGGTTGGAAGGTAGAGCTTACAATTACTAACCCGAAAGTCTCGAGTTCGAATCCCGGGCTCGAGTCTGTAAGACGTTCCTGAGTCCACCCAGCTCAGTTGGGTACCTGACCACACTATTCCCCCCCCCCTCCACCTCCCAGTATGCCGAGGTCATTGAAACAGGTGAACTCTACTTCACCTGCCACATGTGGCGGGGAACGAACGGGAAAAAGACGATGATAATCCCACTAGTAATCTGTCAGTGACGAAGATAACCAGCTTTGTGATCGAAAACCTGAATCAGTAACAACAAAGAACCTCATAAATATTTCAAGACGCGTTTGATTAATTTCATTTTTTCTTCTCGGGATTAAAGTTTTTTAATATTTATTACATCGGGCATGTCGGGTTTGGAATCAGAATAAGAACGAGTGAAGGGAGAGGCATTGAATCCATTTGTCGTTAGTTCAGGCTACTGGACGTAAAGACCGGCTAAAATATTACGTGCAGAGTCGACGAATCGGTGCTTGATAAACGAATCTTGTAATACATAAATCGTGATAAACTAGTTAAATTCTGTGACAATGCAATTATACATTTTTTTTTAAACAAAAGAACACGAAACGTGTCTTGAGTTCGTCACACCAAATAAGTCCGTGAAGCCGTTAGTCGTCCGACTATGTGGTTATAACTAGATACACTTTATTTGAGAGTAAGGTAATTCCTGTCGCCTTAACACTATTAAAAAAATGGTCATCCTATTTACCAGACAAAAACACAAATAAAAAAACACCAAATCAGATGAATATTTTCTATTTAATTATGCCATAGTATACACACATTTATATCGTAAAAAGATCTCTACTAAAACAACTTTATAAAATATTTATTTTTTGGCTCCGATGCAGTTGTATGCATTTGTTCAAAAACAAAAAGGTGAATAACATTGGTTCAACAGAGCACAGCATAGTCTGATTATTTGCTTGACAGCGTACGACTATCTGATGCATTGTTTAGCAGTGTATAACATATCATCATGCATAAGTTCAACAGTGTAGAGGTGTATTCATTTGTTCTATAACATAAAGTATAATTTTTTCTTTTAAAGGCAACAGGTGGTTGACGGATGGTCTAAACTTTTAACATATATCTTAGACGTAAATAAACATACATTTAACAGACTCAAACGGGAAATTCTGTTTGGCTAAATATAGACGCCCTTGACTCGATGAGGAAGAAAAACTGCTCAGAGTGAGTTCATTTGGTCACTAAGGTTAATAAACACTACGTCACAGTCACATGAAGTTCCATATACAAGTCATTACGTCAGTTTTCAACACAAAAAAATGACATCACAGCTTGCTACATAAAAAGGTTTGACGTCATAGGTTGCTATATGAAAAATATGACGTCATCGTTTGCAACACATTAGATATGACAGTTAACTATTCACAAGATATGACTCACAGATTGCTGCATAATATATATGACGTCACAGTTGGCTACATAAGAGACTTATTGTCACAGTTAGCTATATAAGAGACTTACTGTCACAGTTGGCTATGCAAGAGACTTAATGTCACAATTGGCTATGTAAGAGACTTAATGTCACAGTTGGCTATGTAAGAGATTTAATGTCACAGTTGGCTATGTAAGAGATTTAATGTCACAGTTGGCTATATAAGAGACTTAATGTCACAGTTGGCTATATAAGAGACTGAATGTCACAGTTGGCTATATAAGAGACTTAATGTCACAGTTGGCTATATAAGAGACTGAATGTCACAGTTGGCTATATAAGAGACTGAATGTCACAGTTGGCTATGTAAGAGATTTAATGTCACAGTTGGCTATATAAGAGACTTAATGTCACAGTTGGCTATATAAAGGAATGAATGTCACAGTTGGCTATGTAAGAGATTTAATGTCACAGTTGGCTATATAAGAAATTTAATGTCACAGTTGGCTATATAAGAGACTTCATGTCACAGTTGGCTATATAAGAGACTTCATGTCACAGTTGGCTATATAAGAAATTTAATGTCACAGTTGGCTATATAAGAGATTTAATGTCACAGTTGGCTATATAAGAGACTTAATGTCACAGTTGTCTATATAAGAGACTTAATGTCACAGTTGGCTATATAAGAGACTTAATGTCACAGTTGGCTATATAAGAGACTTCATGTCACAGTTGGCTATATAAGAGATTTAATGTCACTGTTGGCTATATAAGAGATTTAATGTCACAGTTGGCTATATAAGAGCCTTCATGTCACAGTTGGCTATATAAGAGACTTAATGTCACAGTTGACTACATAAGATACTTAATGTCACAGTTGGCTATATAAGAGACTTAATGTCACAGTTGGCTATATAAGAGACTTAATGTCACAGTTGGCTACATAAGATACTTAATGTCACAGTTGGCTATATAAGAGACTTCATGTCACAGTTGGCTACATAAGAGACTTAATGTCACAGTTGGCTACATAAGATACTTAATGTCACAGTTGGCTATATAAGAGACTTAATGTCACAGTTGGCTACATAAGAGACTTAATGTCACAGTTGGCTATATAAGAGACTTAATTTCACAGTTGGCTATATAAGAGATTTAATGTCACAGTTGGCTATGTAAGAGACTTAATGTCACAGTTGGCTATATAAGAGACTTAATGTCACAGTTGGCTATATAAGAGACTTCATGTCACAGTTGGCTATATAAGAGACTTAATGTCACAGTTGGCTATATAAGAGACTGAATGTCACAGTTGGCTATATAAGAGACTTAATGTCACAGTTGGCTATATAAGAGACTTAATGTCACAGTTGGCTATATAAGAGACTTAATGTCACAGTTGGCTATATAAGAGACTGAATGTCACAGTTGGCTATATAAGAGACTTAATGTCACAGTTGGCTATATAAGAGACTTAATGTCACAGTTGGCTATATAAGAGACTTAATGTCACAGTTGGCTATATAAGAGACTTAATGTCACAGTTGGCTATATAAGAGACTTAATGTCACAGTTGGCTATATAAGAGACTTCATGTCACAGTTGACTATATAAGAGACTTCATGTCAGTTTGCTTATTGAAAAACGTCCTTGCCCTGTGGTATACTGTTGACCAAGCCAGCTCTAAACAAATGTATGTCAAGTTAACAACGATAAAACAACCAGTGTATAAGGCAACAGCTGTCGTAAAGTGAACAGATTATAAATAGACTTGTAAAAAATGTCTTAAACAATTCTAAAACACCATTTTAAATTTAAAAATAAGGTATCAGCATGAACAAGAACAAGGGTCATTTGATCACAGAGAAGTCCTAAGTGTAAGATCAAGCCAGTAAAACAACAAAACCACACAGGTATCACATTAGCTACCTGATTGTGGTCATCACATCAGCTACCTGATTGTGGTAATCACATTAGCCACCTAATTGTGAGTCCAGCCAGTATTAGACCTGAACAACAGGACAACACAGCACTCAACCATCCACAGAAAGGTGAACAATTCTAAACCTTCTTGGATGTGTTACCTAATTAGTTCAGACCCACAGTCCTCATAAAAAAGGTAAATACAAAGATGCTTCATTTTATCAGCAAGGTTTAAAGTAAAGCAGTTTCTTTTGTGAGACTAGTCTAATCAATCTCTGATTCTAGTCTAATCAGTCTAACAAATCTAATTAATCTCTGGAAATGATTATCTGCTACCCTACATGCATGCTTATCTGAGTATTTTATCTTATACAGGAGGGGGGGGGGTAATGTACCACCAACACAGGCTAGTTGTCCAGCAATATGTTGCTTTTTTATTAGTCATCATATGGTGTTGTTGCATATGTATGGTAATAATCGACATGTTTTTTTTAAACATATCCATAGTACCAGTCAACATATTGCTGGGAAATCGCTATCGTACTAATCAACATACACAGAAGTAACTAAAGTACTAATCAATAAACACGTTGTACTAGTAACAAATGGGTAGAACAAAGTACTAATCCAAAGCTGCCCTTGGTGTTCTAGAAAACAAAGTTAGAACAAATTGTTCTCGTAACAAAGTCACATGACCAGGCACCTGTCCTTACTGCCACACCTGTGTAGAAAAGAGGAAATGGAGATTGTCACGTGGTAGTATGATAGAGTTGTAGACATAAATAACATGTATAGCTGGCCTAGTTCTAAAATCTAGAAAAAAAATCATGTATATTTCTCATATTATGTAACAAGTATTCTTATGTAAACATGCAGCCAATGAAAGAAGTAAATAAAGTTTTGAGGTTTATGTCTTGACAAATGTGCTGCTAAGCTGAGTATTTCTTAGTACCCGGTAGTCAAAGAAACACTAGGTTAAGCGGTTAGTAAATTGGTTTGGTAAACTACCGTTCATAAGTAATTATCCCCCCCCCCTACCCCCCCCCCCCCCAACACACAACCAGGGCCGGCGCTACCGATAAGGCGAACTCGGCGGTCGCCTAGGGCGCCATCCATAGTGGGGCGCAAAATGTTTAATCGCTATTATTAAAAAGTACCTAATAATTAATAACTTTTATAAAGGAGTAGCGATCTATTTCGGCACCCAGGACGAACTATCAATTTGGCGCCCCCACCCAAAAATTAGGTCTATATAGGCCTATATTTATTCGCGATGGAAAAAATGCAACTCCACATCCCTAATTTGGAAAAGTCGGGGCGCTTTTTACCAGTTACTTTGCCTTTTTAATTTGGTGTCACATAATTGATGTAGAAAACGATAAAATAAGTTCGTTGTTTAAATTTCGAACATTTCAAACGGTTATTTAATTTTTATAGGGCTTTTAAGTCTCGTTTTCTCTGATTTGAATTAGAAATCTGTCCTGGTGTACAGAGTTTTGTAATTACTTGTTTGGTAAGTTTTGATGAATCGTTTAGATTAGGGAGTAACGGCGGAAGGCTGTTGCTGATATGGTTCGTAGGTATAAAGTATCGAAGTGTTAAAGTATCGTATTTTTATATTTGGCTGTTTTGCAGTTGAAGATCTAGTGGAATCTGATAGGTAATAGAGAAATGAGAATGCAAGTGATGAAGTATCGTAGTTCTGGAGTTCGGGAGTATTGATTTTTGTGGTATTAAGGTATCGAATCATATTGAGTGTTAAAGTGTAGTAGTAGATCCGGTTAAATCATTGTTGATTGGGATTACCGTTTGTAGAGCTTGGTAAAGTTAAGCGAGTTGGTGTCGTAGTTCTGGATCATCGAGTCTTTCTAGTTTATGTTTAGATATCGAAGTTTGATATGTGTTGTGAATGTTGAGAGGAGAATATCGAGTAGTCGAGTTTATCGTAAGTTAGATTATTTCAATTCAGGACGGAACACACTACAAAGAAAGGTAGGCGTTCTCTAGTTGAAAAAATCTTAAGTTTTTTTAGGACTCTATATAACCACTCTGAAGGTATTAAAATATAATATTAAATGGGATGGAATTTATAACTAACCGTAAACTTTGTTTTTTTCAAATTATAATGTTTTCATATTTAATCAATAATTCTAGTAATGAATAAAACAGTTACCCTACCCGTGTTTGATTGTTGAAAGGCGTCCTTTTATTTAGGGGATCCAAAATTTTATATCATTATGAGACATGAATACCAAATAGCGTATGTCATTAAAATTGAATAGAAGTATGTTATAATAAAACTATCATTTTCAGACTTTCAAAGGAAATCTACAGTTAAGTATTCAATAAGTGAAATACATTGTTTTTAAAAGGTTACATAGCTGATATAAAAGATTTATTATAATTATTACGTAATGAAATTTAAAGCGTTTGATTGTGTTTTTCTAGCATGTCTTAGTTACACTGGATTAATTTAGCTACTCTTGTGCAAGTTATTTCCCTTAAAGAAAATTTTAGTATTTGGATTTTAAATGGGAGATAATTCGTTGCTAAACTTTACATTCATTTCAAATTCCAGCACCTTAGGTTGACCGCTTACATATAAATAAAACTTTAAGTTATTATTTGCTGTTGCAAAAATTATGTAGGGCATAAGTTCTAAACAAAATAGTTTGGTAGGTATTTTAAGCATTATCAAGTTGAAAAACAAATACATCCGTAGCCGTTATAGATTGCAATACTCAGTGGCGTAGCGAGGTCGGGTGTCACCCGGTGCGGCACTTAATGGTGTCACCCCCCTAGAGGCGTAGCGACCCTTCCCGGGGACAAACTTTCAAATTTTCGATTTGCACCCCCTCCCCTCAAGTTTTTGATTTGCAGCCCCCCCCCCCCCCCCCCATCCCAAGAAGTTTGTCTTTTTATATTTTGCTATTTTTTGCCTTGGTGTCACTCCCCTAAATTGTGTCACCCGGTGCGGTCCGCACCCCCGCCCCCCCTCGCTACGCCCCTGGCAATACTTAATGTTAGTAGACATACAGTCTTAGTCGTAAATGAAACGTCTAATTAATTGTCTTTTTATATTTTTCACCCTCTCCTAAAGGATTCATATATAACAATTTTAGGCTGGAATCTATATTATTTATAACTTTTATTTTTCAAAAACAAAAACAAAATCGTTACATAATCACACAATATAGACATTTTACAATTATAACTAAAGACAGTCAAGCTTAAAACATGTAAGTTCCGTTTTGGAACTCACCTTGGGAGGACTGCAGATAGCCCAACACTACAAGAACTTTTTTTGATTCAGTGTTTTTTCCAGACTTTTTTCTGCCGGAAAGCGATGGGGGTGGCGGGGGGGGGGGGGGGGGGGGGGGGGGTGGAAACACTTAAAATTTTCTAAGGGGGGAGGGAGGGGAGGCTATCTCGTAAAGTACAAAGTAGACTCGTGCACTTAGCAACAATTTCAATAAAAATTTCATTACGCTTGCAAACTGGAATGAGAGAATTAGCACAAACTTTAGAGACGAAAGAGGCACGTAAAATTTCAATTTTGTGTCTACTTATTACGTGTATAACGTGTATGTAATAAATTAATGTCACTTTTAATTAATTAGTTTCTTATACATATGTTTTAGTAATTAATTTGTGTGGGCGTTTTAATAAGTTTTGTCTAGGACGCTAAATAACCTGGCGCCGGCACTGCACACAACCTAGGAGTTTTCGTTACTTTTAAAACCCACTTTATTTTTTTGTCTTCCGTGTTTGTAAGGGTCACGTGATTTGGTTATATGTCGGCTAGTCTTCAGTGTTATTTTTTTATGCTAGTGTTAGAGACCACAACCGGATGTGTTGGGATATGAAAAAATTAGAATCACGTGATTTGGTTACACGACGGTTATGTTCAGAGTTTCTTCCAGGCATCTCTTCGGGGGGGGGGGGGGGGGGGAGGGGCTTTGCCCCCCCCCCCCCCCCGAACGAAACGAAATGAAATTTATATAATTTATATAGAAAATATATATTTTTAACAGTGTCCGCCCCCCCCCCCCCCCCCCCCCCCGAAGAAAGTCTACCGCCCCCCCCCCCCCCCCGGAGAAAAAAAACTGGAAGAAACACTGGTTGTGTTAGGTTTAAGGTTAGTCGGTAAAGACAACGGCTTGAGATGTCGGGATATTTTCGAGCTTTACACACAACAGCTTCTATACAAGCAAGTTATTTTTTGTTTCCTCTTTCATCGATTTCAAATGAACTAAAAAACGCCCGATGACAAGAAAAAAAAAATCAACACGGACAATCATCCCGTGTACAAGAAAGACTTCCATTTTTTACAACCCCACCCACTCGCCATGCCCCCCCCCCCCTCCCACACGTCCTAATCTAATCATTCAGCTCTATCAAATTGCCGAGCAGAATATAAGTGACCTTTAACCCCCGCCTTCCTGGGTTTGTATGCTCACACTATGGCCTCCTTGTACAATAGCAGAGAGGTCAGTCACCTCTTCAATATTCTTTAGCATGGCTTTGGTCTTACAAAAGTAAGGGCGATCGAGGTCTTAGCATCTTCGTGTTTTCATCAGACGAGTGTCTACTTATAGTTAGAAGAGTTTAAGCCCAGTTTGGCCAAGATGCATGCCCATACCGTGGTCAACTTGATATCCTGACCAAGGTCCAGTATGTTTGTTGGGGATAGGAGGCAGAAGTATGACGTTAATACAGGGGGGGGGGGGGAGTTTTGTGACGATTGACAATTGGGAAGGAAGGGAATCTGCAAAATCTGTGTGACGTCATCTATGAACAATACCCCCGCCCCCCAACATCGGGAACAACAAACACCCGTATAAAGTCACGTGACTCACCTTGACCGTGCTGTCCACAGCCCCTGAGAAGATGCGACCCCTGGAGACGGCGAGACACGCCACACTGCCCTGGTGCCGGACTAGCGTCTGTGTGCAGATCATGTTGTCCATGCTCCACACCTGTAGGTAAATGTCACAGTCGTTAGTTTAACGGTTAAACATCACAGTCGTTGGTTTAACGGTTGAACATCACAGTCGTTGGTTTAACGGTTGAACATCACAGTCGTTAGTTTAACAGATCATGTTGTCCATGCTCCACACCTGTAGGTAAATGTCACAGTCGTTAGTTTAACAGTTAAATATCACAGTCGTTAGTTTAACGGTTAAACATCAGTCGTTAGTTTAACGGTTAAACATCACAGTCGTTAGTTTAACAGATCATGTTGTCCATGCTCCACACCTGTAGGTAAATGTCACAGTCATTAGATTATCTCTTAAGTTTTCGTGGTTCCTAAGTCAGGCTGAAAAGTGTTTTGTGGCGAATGATACACAAAACTGTGGTTTCCTTACAATCGGCGTGAATGTCTCCAGATAAACCAATTGCCACCTCCACACGTCTAAAAATAGAAACACCCCCACCCCCGCCTAATTTTAAACCATCATAACCTCCCTTCCCCACCCACAAAAAACAACAACATGACGATGGACGCATTAGGCTATTTACCCCAACCGGTCATTAACTGGACATCATTAGCGATCAATAAACGGACGTCTCCATTAAAGGTTAATAAACGGACATCATTAGAGGTCAATGGAAGGATATCTTCATTAGCGGTCAATAACCGAATGTGTACTATCGGGATTAATGGCACTATCAATAGCCAAATGTTCAGACAGTGTTTAATTTACAAACGGAGCCACACACACACACACACATACATGACACCCACCGCTCTAAAAATAGCCAACCAATCAGAGCTGCTAAATTAAAGTTAATGTTCGCCGGCCTACCGAATGTGAAACAAATGAATGGGCTGCCAATCAGCTGATCTGTATTATCTTGTGTTGGTGATTTGTTTTTATCTTCGCTTCGTGGGTGTTTCATTAAGACAATTGAGTTGTCAAAATATTTTGGGGATTTTATAATAAGTTAAAATCAAATCACAAATCACTAGCTTTATAATAGCTTAACCACATTACAATTATCATTAAATCTCAGACTTTATGAAAATTATTGAGTGAAATGCTTTTAGTTTTAAAAATGTAAAATCAACGACGAATTAACCTAATAAATTTTAAATTAGCTAAATTTTAATTAATTGAATTAGAAGATTGCCATGGAAGTCATTAAAACAACAAAAACATTTCTTCAAACTGAGTTAGCAAACAGAACATTGCAGATGGAATTATGCATGAATAACACTCCTACTGTAACATTTATAAATTATTACATCACTAATTGATAGATTTCTACAATATCAGTTTTTTTTTAAATATGCTAGGAAGCCAAACTCGAGACTAGCTGGTTAGCAATCGGATACTCTACCACCCCGACCCTTCTAAAAAGGTAAGCACGTGGCAAGTATAAGCCATATAAGGACTGGATCCTAAAACCAAAATATAAGACAGGGTTAGGTGATCAAGTCGTTTAAAGAATTAAGATGATAGCCGCACTCAACTGATATGAAAAAACCCACGAAGATTGGTTATAAGGGTACGGTGTAGTCGAATGGTAGAGCGTTTGACTGTTAGTCTGAAGGTCTAGAGTTCAAGTCTCGAGTTCGGATCTATGTTCGGTCTAGTGACTGCAGGACACCCAATTCTGATGAGTACCTCACTCACGTTAAGGAAATCAAGCCGGGTGGTCATAGTGCGGACCATACTATCCCTTCATACGCTAAGGTCTCTGAAACAGATGAACACTAGTTCATCTGCCCCATGTGTCTTGGGCACAAAAAGATGATGAGATATGCTATGAAAAACCCCACCTAGATGGAAATGAAAACTTTGAAATCTATGAAAAAGACCACCAGAGCTTTTACCGCTAGACGAACTTTGAAGCACGGCCATCAGACTTCAAGTCTCATTTGGCACCGTACAAGCAAACAGCCCTCCGGCCACGACATTAGAGTCCAGGCTCGGCCACCCAATGCCTCCCCCATCCCAACCATCCCCCATCTGATTCCATTACCCGAGCTGGTCTGCTTTCTCTCACCACTTAGGTCAAAGTTCACGCATCTTTTACCCAGACGACAAGAACACAGCTGTCAACTGATGTTAGTCAACATTGTCAGGGACATCTGGTAGAATCAGACCTTTGGTGGACTTGATGGTTTGCAGCTTCGGGGACAGCGTAACCTAGCGTAGAGCACTAGACTAAGAACCCGGAAGTCTCGAGTTCGAACCCACCCAGCTCAGATGGGTATCTAACTCACGTTAGTGAACAAAGGCGGCTGGGCATAGTGCTGATCACATTATTTCCTTGTATGCCGATGTCACTAAAACAGATGAGCTCTACTTTATCTGCCCCATGTCTTGGACATGAACGTGAAGAGATGATGATGAGATGATATGTTCACTTGAGGCCATCGTGAGGGGACACAACTTGAATAAAAATCAGACTAAGGTAATAGACAACCCATATAACCAAGCACTAAGGGAAGTCTACCTCGACATTAGTAGAGGAGAATGGTTTAAAACAACAGCCGGGGGAGGCCACGATGTCTCGATCTTCTAGCCTCCAACCTTCTAACCTTCAATATCTTCCTAAGAAATGCTAATGGAAGAAGTATGAGGAAACCAGGAGAGGCCTGTCACCAAGACATTCACTGACTTGCTTTATGTGGACGATATTAATGGCTGGGCAGAAACAGAAGAACTGTCGAACTAAGTACAAACTCACTGACACGATATCAACTGCACATGGGATGTAGATCTATATTGGGGGTGGGGACTGGGCGACAGTTAATAAAATACCATTAACCTTTTTTTTAAACAGACAACTTTTTGGTAACAGTTGAGTATTTTTTTAGTTGCCCAAACCAGGACCTCTAGCTGGTGTGAAGGACGTTTTACACTCCTCACTAATCGCTAGTGGCTCGCTAATTACCCGTGAGATACGCGGGTCGCCAACTAATGAAGGAGACACACGCTTTAATAATTTAGAACTGGTGACTTTCATTTGTATCTAGTAATCATACAACTACAGCACTCGACGGAGATCATACAAACAATGCATCGCTTTCAATCCTCTAAAAAAGGCTACATTTTAAAACAAGACAACTTTTAAAGTCGTTGTTAACTTTAACTTTTTTTTCTAAATATAGCAACGTAACAAAATAAAATAAAAGGACAGAGCGTAAACAAAGTTAGTGAAGTACTGAGACCTTACTAATAGAGAACCCAGAAAGTCAAAAAGCTACACCGGAATTTTCCAATTTCGAAGTTGAATGAACATAGTCTTAATACACGGACGCCGCGAGCTCTATTCCCAGAAGGAGTTTATTTCAACTTGGGTTTCCGTTCTAAAAAAGACACCACCATGAAAGGATGGTATCAATGGAGATGGTACTAGCTGGGTGTGATGACAAATTACTTTTAACCACAGATGTGGAGGGTGACGAGGAATGAAAGGGCCGCCAGCTAAAGGGAGAGAAGTTTGATGTGGGCTGGCCAGGGGGAACAGACACAAAATGGGGGTTATCATGGGAGGAGTTAGAGAATTAAAGATAGTTGGATCAAAGATGGTTATTTCAATAAAAATTTTGGTTATGTCAGCACTAAAGTTAAATAAAAAATAAGGCTGAGTTAAGTTAGGGCACAAGTTAAAACAAGGTAGGATATCTGATAGAACATACTAGACGGTACGAGACAGCAATACACAGAAAGTGATATTTCAACGCCAAGGGTAGACAAAGGTACAGAATATAGTCCAGGTAGAGACAGAGCAGTCAAACCCAAAGGCATCCGGACCTACCCTTGGCGTTGAAATATCACTTTCTGTTGATATGGCTATTTCAGTAACAACGCCATCCATCCAGGCGGTACGAAAAACCTCATGGCGGATTGTTGCAGTTACAGAACCTTAGAGCCTTTGGACACTTTACTGGCATTAGACACTACTTTACTCGCACTAGACACTACTTTACTGGCATTAGACAGAACTTTACTGGCATTAGACAGAACTTTACTGGCATTAGACAGAACTTTACTGGCATTAGACACTACTTTACTGGCATTAGACAGAACTTTACTGGCATTAGACACTACTTTACTGGCATTAAACACAACTTTACTGACATTAGACAGAACTTTACTGACATTAGACAGAACTTTACTGGCATAAGACACAACTTTATTGGCGTTAAACACAACTTTATTGGCATAAGACACTACTTTATTGGCGTTAAACACAACTTTATTGGCATTAAACACAACTTTACTGATATTAGACACAAATTTACTGACATTAGACACAACTTAAATGGCATTAGACACTACTTTACTGGCATAAGACACTACTTTATTGGCGTTAAACACAACTTAATTGGCATTAAACACAACTTTACTGGCGTCAAACACAACTTGACTAGTGTTAACCAAAACAAAAGACAAAAGAAATAGCAACAATAGAACAAAACAGAAACAAATTACAAGAAAAAAATAGCTGAACAGAACAAATGCTCTGCCCAATTAATTTAAAAGCGAAAATTAGAAATTCTGTGTCTGATTAAAAATAAAAACTGTCTAAATTTATTGCAATCAGCATTGCGTTATTTTAGAATTATTGTAAAACCCCAACTTTTTCAATCAAATATTATCTGCAGCTACTGTAAACACGAATATTTTCAAACATTTCACAATCCAATGACACGAGAAAGTGATGTGTACCAACCGCCGCCCATTGTTAGGTCATAAGAAATATGAACACACCATGGTGAGAAGTTTAGAAGGGTTGGGGTCGAACGTTCATCACATTAAAGCACGCGCGTCATAACCACTCACGTAAACTGTCAACGGCGACATGCAATGCCGTTTAATGTCGTCATATGTTCAGTTGGCAGCCTTCACCGTGTTCACGTCACCACCAACAAACGCCGAAACAGTTTAAACAATTATACCAACATAAACAAACCGTCAAAAAAACATCATCAACTACCAATCTATCAAACCAACATCATCAACCACCAATCTATCAAACCAACATCATCAACTACCAATCTATCAAACCAACATCATCAACCACCAATCTATCAAACCAACATCATCAACCACCAATCATCACCTACATCATCAACCACCAATCATCACCTACATCATCAACCACCAATCTATCAAACCAACATCATCAACCAGCAATCGTCACCTACATCATCAACCAGCAATCATCACCTACATCATCAACCACCAATCTATCAAACGAACATCATCAACCACCAATCTATCAAACCAACATCATCAACCACCAATCTATCAAACCAACATCATCAACCACCAATCTATCAAACCAACATCATCAACCACCAATCTATCAAACCAACATCATCAACCACCAATCTATCAAACCAACATCATCAACCACCAATCTATCAAACCAACATCATCAACCACCAATCTATCAAACCAACATCATCAACCACCAATCTATCAAACCAACATCATCAACCACCAATCTATCACACCAACAACATCAACCATCAAGATATCTGACCCAAATCACAATGTGATACTAAAGAGAACTAAAACAATTGTAAACTGGCACCAGAAAACAATAAAAAAAAACACCACGTCATTGCTCTAGTAACTATTCATCGATACCTAATCCAAAACCTAATCCAAACCCAATACCCATGTGGAGTATTAAGTCTTAAGTACCAAAAATAAACTCCTCATTACCTTAATCCCTTATAAACAAGTACCCGACCCCCCCCCCCCCCAACCTATCTGGACAATGTTACAGTTGTCACCAGGAAAAGCGTGGGCAATGCTGGTGAGCGCATATCTATAAATAGCCACCGCGTGGCGACGCGCAAATCAACCCCAACGTCAATACGGAAACAGATAATCCTAAACCAAACCACACAACTCCCTCACCAACACACACTACACCTACACCAAGATCAAACACTTAATCCACAAATTGCAACACACTTGTGGGTGGAGTTTTTTTTTTCTATTTCGGCATTCATTTCACCGAATTTGAGCAGATTCTCCGCAAGAGGAAATCAACCAATCAGATGCGAGTAATCGCGTTAGCGCCCAACAAAAAGGCGGCGTCCGAGCGTTGCCTGGCCAGTGATTCAGACCAGGGGAAGATAACTGTCAGGTGTTGCGGTGGTCATTCTTCACACACTGTCAGCTACTGCTGTGGTCAATCCTACAACATGAAGGCCTTGCACATCAGCTGTTTCGTGAGCTTTTTGCTGACCATTCTCTCAATGGCTGCTCATGGTGAGTTGGCTTTTTTTTTTTAAATTAACTCACCACTGGTCACGTGCAATTATATGTATTTATGCGACAGATTAAAATGTAACTGTTATGATCAATTAAGATGGTTTAAATACAAATAGATATGACATAAACCAAACGCATAGAAGGCAAAAATAAATTAATAAACAGATAAGGACAAACGAGTACAGATATACGTTCAAAAACAGAGACAGTTAACAGAGAGAGAGAGAGAGAGAGAGAGAGGGAGAGAGAAAGAGAGATGCAAGAAGCTAATCTTTAGCTGTAGACCAACTTTAACTTACAGAAACACATGTTAAACCGTTACAAAATTTTTTTTAAGTGCGTTTAAACCATAAACTGATTCAAGTTTTCTCATTCTTGACGCAATCAAAAAATTATCAACTCAGATTTTCTTATTACTGATTTGATTCGCGACCTGCAGTATCGTGAACAAAGTGACTAGCGACTTAAATGATTTCATCCCATCAAATGACATGTTAGAAAAAGTAAATTAGGAGAATTTTCTTTTTCTCTATGGCGCATCTTGAAGTAATCCCAGCAATTCTTGCTCTGACTTTCTACTCCAGTGAATCGAAAATTCGGCATATTAGTAAATAAGTAAGCAAAGTCCTTGGCTGTTCATGTGATAGATGAAGTGATGGTCAGCACGTTCCCACAAGCTTGTGTTAGGAGCTTAAATTGTGATGTGGATTAATTTTTATGATCATACACCCGATATAAAGCTTAATGAAATCAAATGGAAATGTGTGAAAAATACTTGTCAAAATTGTGTTAATCTGAAAACAGCTAAAGAATCGTACACTTAGCGATAGAAAAAAAATTGTATTAAACGAATACGTTGGTAATGTGAGTTAGAACTACTAAAGGCTGATACACATGAATGAGTTGACTTTTTTTGCATTAACAGTTATAAGTTCACATCATCAAAACTTTCAAATCAGTTTGATGAAACACCAGCATTGGTGAGAGGACGTACAGACAAAACGGGTAACGCCTTTCTGGAATCATAGCCCACCTCCCCAGCCCTCACACAATGTAAACCTCTAAAAAACGTAATTCAATAAGGTAATAACACGTATTGTGTACGTTACTACGCTAATAATGTATACACCGGCTGTGATTTGTTATTTTGATAATCTGGTATTCAATACAAAAAGTATATTATTTTCAGAAAAATGATTGCAATTTTTCTCAAGAATAAACATATGATGAGAACTTGATTTTTTATGATTTCTTTTATTAAAATATCAAACAAGCGCTGTTAAAGAAATATATAAGTGTATTTTTGTATGGCCAGCAAAGCAAACAAGAGCTGTTAAAGATATATAAACGTGTATTTTTGTCATTTGTATGGACCCCAGCAAAGATTTCCAAGTTTTATTTCCCGTACGCTAGTCCTACGCAGCATTATAATTGGTTTTAAGGTTCTTCTCCTAATTCCATCTTCCGTTTGCTCCGCAGGGTTAATAGTTCTATAATGCAAATACAGCGATTCAAAGACAAAAATGGTTTGTTGATAAATATAAACAATAGTAATGCTATTATATTCAACATACATACAGAAGCCCACATGGACCCAATCCGCCCACACCATTTCCAAAGAAGAAAAAGTCAGACTTTTTCAGACCCCCCCCCCCCCTTAATTATGAACGTATTCAATTGATGATCCTATATACTCAGATGAGAGGGCATTATAGGCAAGGCAAAATTTTTTTTTTAAAAGAGTCCGTTATAATATAAATGTTGATGTTCGTTTTGTGATATGAGTTCGTTTTGTGATATGAACGTAACTAGGGGTCATTCAACTTCAATGTCGCATCATACCTGGCGGTGGATGCAGTGAGTCCCTCATTATATCTTAATCAGCCCCAATTACCGGCCACGCTAACGAGCCACACCGAGGTAAAGGAGAGTGAACGAGGTGATGATTAAGTCGGGGAGAAAATCATCGCGTGGCTTCCCACCAATCAGCCACCACCGGAAACAATATTCTTCGGTTTCCTGGGCAAATTGACGTCAAGAGTTATGGCGGGAACACCCTCACCGGTCAGACGGGTAAAATTATGTCGTCAGACGAGGACTGCACCGTGCCTGCAGCAATAAATTCTACAAGGGCTGTCCACTACCGGGTGGAGATTTCTGTTGAGTCTTGATGAGGGTTCTTCCATAAACGACGTCACACTCCGATCGGCAGAGAGAGAGTGGGGGGGGGGGGGGGGGGAGGAATTTTTTGACGATGTGAGACACGTGTGACGAGATGTTACTCTTTTGAAAATAATGTTAGAAACTGAATTTAAGCAATTTTTACAAGCTTTTATTAAACTTGCTTCCTCTTTCTGCCGATGGTCTCTGTCGTCATAGATCGAAACGGGCGAGCGAAATTTCGGGCGCGTCCAACTGACAGATTCGTTTCGAAGTTGGCACGCGGGTCAAGACTTGAAGACAATGCAATATGATATTAAATTTGACTTAATATGATGACTAATTTTTTATGAATTAATTAACATTTTCTGAAATTAGTAGGGTGTCTTGTACTACTCTTTCCACACTATTATACGCGCATTATCATGTTCATTTAATGCGCAGTAGTTTTTAATCATGCAACAAAGTACTGAAAAAAAAATTGTATAAAAAGTTTTAATAACAAGCTTTTAAAGTCCCGAGTTCGAACCCCCAGGCAGATGATGCTCTATAGCCGAGGACAACAACTCTTCTAGGAGAGACAACTCAAAAATCAAACAACTTCTGCTTTGTAGTTTTTTCAAAATTGGACAAAGGCTATGCAGGCAAATCAAAAAAAGAAAAGCAGGCTGAAATCGGAGTCAACGGCCTATGACAAGTTGACACGTAATACTTAATTGTGTACCTTCCAACACTAGAATTAATAACGAAGAAGAAGAAGAAGAAGCGGCGAGATGATCACAGCAGCCCTAGCATTGTGTGGGTTAATTGAACTATTTCATCAGCACGCACAAGGCGTCAAGAATCGCACCAAAAACAATCAGTCCAACGACGCCAAAATGTCATCTAACTAGCACCAAGACTAGCGTGTCAATTATTTTAGTCGGATCCCAAACTAATAACGTAGCTTTTTATAGCACGCGGTATGAAAATGAACCTCACGCTATTGGTTCGGTTGTCAAACTGACGTCAAGCGTGCGGTTGATGCAAATTTTTTTCATTGACCGGAAAGGAAACGGCACGAATACACAACAAAGATCATTGAGAGTGCTCCATTTTGAGCGGGTATTTTCTCAACTCACATAAGATGGCATAAACTGCAACAACGTAACGTTCAATATGTTGACAGGCAAAATTAATTTATTGACATTAAGAACGCAATCTTTTGACATCATGAATGTTTATTTTTTTAAATGAATGCAATCTGTTTATATCAGTAACGCGAAAATGTGTTGACCTTTTTAAGCAGCGTTCACGGCCGCTATATATATATATATATATATATATATATATATATATATATATATATATATATATATATATATATATATATATATATATATATAATGTATATATGTATATATATATACATACATACATAATTACCCCCCCCGCCCCAGATATCAACTACCTCTGCCATTTACCAGTAATCGATTGCATGACCCTATCACTGTTGCATTGAAGTGTATTGTAAAGAAAAAGTACAAAATGACAAAAAGTGATGGTTAAAAATTAATTAATTAATTTAAAACAAACATAATAAATATGATTGTTAAATACACATATTTTCTATGAATGACTATGATAAAGAATCCCAAAAAAAAAACAACAACTTTGCAATACAAAATAAAGCTATATTGTCAGCTAATGATGATAAATGATTAATTAATTGCATCTTTGCAGACGTATCCTTCAGTGTGCTACTTAGAAAGTGCAGAATTTAAATAACTCATTAGAACATGAGGATTTTTTAAATAATTGTCCTTCGGTCATTAAGATCTCCTCAACGTAAAACAATAGGCAGGCTACTCACTCTAAAAATAAACCTGAAATTTAATTGCTGCTCGTTAGTTTGTCATTAATTCCGTCCCTTTATGGGCGGCTTTTGTACGAAATTCCTTTAAATTGGGCACCGTTTCTCCGCCTCACCGGCCTAATTAGACGATAAAACTTTAGTCGGCTGCTTTATAAAGTTTACTCAACGAATCATCAAACTCGAATACAGAAAAAAAAACTTCGCTAAAAAACAAATAGGAATTAAGAATATGAACAGGTTAGCTGGTAGTGGTGTGGGGGGGGGGGGGGGTCAGGAGACAAAGAAATAATCTATGTATTCCCTGTCATGTGACTGTCAAAAAATGCTACATTCGCCGTCACGTGATCTGGACTGTGGTACTTACTTCAGGAGGCCGAAGAAGAAAAATAAACGTGAAACCGTCAAAAAAGCAACAACATTGCAACTCATTACTTAAAACCGCATAGATTGAAAGCTCTTGTATTCAATGGAAATAAAAGAAAATTCGTGCCGTGAAGCCACAACTCCAAACGCAAAGACACACCGGGCCTATGAGCCATTAAGTTTTACATTATGCTTATGCATCAGTTCTACTGTCTGGTTTCGATCTTCTAGAATCGACTGGAAGGGCCAAAATAAAAACCAACATTTTAAAAATCTGGCCATTTAGTGTTGAACTGACTGCCAACACTTTAAAATCTAACAATGAATGACCAAATAACCAACGCTTTATAAACTGACCAGGTAGGATTAAACATGTAACCATTTTTTTTATCTGGCCAGCTAGGGCCAAACATCAAAATAGTTTTGTAAAAATCTGGCCAATAGCTTTCTAGGCCAAACAACAAACAATTTTTAAATCTGGCCTATTCTTTTAAAAAAAAAACTGGCAGAAGGACTAAATAACAAACCAACACGTACATATATTTTGACTTTAAAACAACAAACCGATACATAAATATATTGGCTTAGACCCAAATTTTCACATCCCCACCCGCAGTCAGAAAACGGCGTACATAGAATACCACTTAACGACTCGACCCAGGCGAAAAACATCAGGGGGGTCGAGAGCCTCTTGACCACAGGGCGCCGACTCCTCGAAGTGACGGAAATAATGGAACTGTTATGTCGGCTAGACAACCGTGGTTTTTGAGGTAGAGAAAGGTGGAATCGTGGCTTCACGCAATTTCACCCAGATTTAAATATATTATGTAGTAAAATCGATAACTTCACAAATACAATTTCTAACCCTACCTGCATTTTTACCAGCATCTTAACTGTATTAAGAGTATACGTTTGTTGATGATTGTTACTGTATTATATTATGTATTTTTCTACCCCCCCCCCCCCCAAGGGTTTATGGCACTAATTGAGTTAAAATGATGCGAACATCGACGCCAGTAGCTGGGGGTAACACCCACGTTTTCGTGTGTAAGAAGACGTTGCAGAGGTTCACAAGATTTGTGTCTTAATTTTTTATGTAGTTGTATGGGGATGAAAGGGTTAAGCCGGTGAATAGGGATGCAAGGGTTAATGTTTTCGGATAATTAGGTCGAGAGGTTACACGAATGTGCTGTGGTTTGACATGAGATCTAATGCGGTGATGATTAAAAACGTGATTAATACGGGTGGTTGGCAGGTAAGAAAAAAAATGTAAAAAATGTCCCATCAATATTCGATCCAAAAACAAACGACAGAAAACCTGATTTCCTGCCGATACATGTAACACGTTATTTTTATCATTCGCAATTTCCGTTCCATAAATAGAATCATCAATCATGTGATTAACCCAAGAGCTCTTTAATTATCAGGACCGAATTCTATCAAACATCAACAAGGCATAACAAGGCAAACAAAAAAAAACAAATTGGCGCGGAGGGATACACTGGAAATAGCACGCCCCCATAAACATGGAGGAGGAGACGGACAAACGATGTTTTATTTTCGTGGCTCCGTTGCGTGACTTTAGTGGGACGAGTACGAGAAAAGTAATTACCCGGCCAGCCTTCAATCTTGACTTGCCTTGTTAGACCTAGTCGAGAAATCATTTACAATTCTTTCCTTTCAGGTGTCGGGATGGACTGGGCCTCATTTAATACAAGGTTATACCGTCTTCCTTTTGGTTTCTGAAGTCACGTGATTTTTGGTAGCATTGATATTAAGTTGTCAATTTTCATGCCCGGAAGTAAAACTTGTAAGATTTTTTTTTCAAAGGGCGTTGACCCGGGAACAGAAAAATTAACGAGTTTCTCAACTGGTCATACACAAACGGAAATGAAAATTGGTTTATCGCGAACATGTCAGTGGTATATCACGGACAAGTAACAGACATATCGCGAATATGATAGTGGTCTATCGCGGACATTTAATGAAATGATGTAGTACGGACATGACACCGATATATCGCGGACATGTCATGATATATCGCGGACATGTCATGATATATCGCGGACATGTCACCGATATATCGCGGACATGTCATGATATATCGCGGACATGTCACTGCTATATCGCGGACATGTCACCGATATATCGCGGACATGTCATGATATATCGCGGACATGTCACTAATATACCGCGGACATGTCACTGATATATCGCGGACATGTCACTGATATACCGCGGACATGTCACCGATATATCGCGGATGACTCTTACTTGTGACATGAGAACCTCTAAAATTAGAAACATTACAGACAGCAATACGTGGGTGAGAAGGTTTATTAAACAAGATTACAATAAAAAAACTACCGGCTGATGCCCAGCGAATAGCAGAAATAGCAATTTTTTTTTTACGCCAATCTTATTTGTAGCGTAAAAAACACTTTAATAAACCGATGAAAAATATTTTTTTCCCCAAAGATTAAATTTTCAAATCCTAAACAAAACCCTTTGTATCTCCGCTCTAATTAAACAAGAATTTTAAATCTGGTCAATATTTTGATTTAATTACACGCGCATTATAAATATTAACTCTTGTCGGTTTTTTTAGTTAGGGTTAGGATTATTCACTAGCTATTTACATTGGAGGCAAGCTTTAAATACCCCGCAAAGATAGAAACCCGCCGTATCTATTTAACTAGTTTTCGTGAGCATAGAACTCGAGTTGGCGAGTGCTATTCTATTTCTGACCACTCGAGTTTAGCCTGACCTCTGAAGGACGTCCAACCTTCTGTCCAGGGAAAAGATTGCCGATATAAAAAAATGACCAGTCAGAATAAGGAGATTACGTCATAGCGGCTAACCATCGCTGCTGTGTGTGACGCACGTTGGGACGGCTAAACCCGTTAGGGACTGTCCTATGATCCGACCACTCGATTCCAGTTAGGACGGGCTCTGGAAGTCCCGGCCGATGATGTACACAATGGGATGGGATTTGTTCCAGCACTGAGATCATCCGTTTATGGTGTCGGCACGTTAGGGTCAGTCCAACTTTAGAAACCGGGTAATTAGGATCGGGGGAGGGGAGAGAATCAGGGGATAAGTGAAAGTTTTAATTAACCGTGTAAGTGGGCTCACATGATATATCCAGCGGCCTATTTATTTAATTAATTCATGACGATCTGTTATATTTTTGTACCGCTTATATGTGAAATATAATGGATTTAAATTTCCATATTGCTTTATTTGTTCAATTAATATATTACTGGGTTTTACTGTATTTGTTTATTTGTTTATTACGAGTTTATGCCATTAAAACGTTTCACATTATAACTGTGGCATGTTATGGTTTAACAATTCACTCAACAGTTTAAGAATATGCATATTTCAAAGTAATTTGGAGTTTCCGGAAAATTTTTTTTTTTTTAAATCGGGAAATCGTAAACATACGCCATTTTGATACCGTGATCTGACACAGGTTAACACAAAGCCTAATAAAAATTAAGCTCGAACACAAAAAAAAAACCTCATTCTCCTTGAGATCCGTCTGTATTAATACCGACCCTAAATCAGGCTTTACACAGTCATCCCAGAACACAACTACCTTCACACATTGTTTCTTTCAGGCATCTCTCCGGGGGAGCAGTTCCCCCTCCCGAGTTCGTCACCTCCCCCCCCCCCCCCCACCCAGACGAAATATAATGATAATGTTATGTAGAAAATATATACTTTAATAACCGGTGTCCACTTCATTAACCAGAAGTTCCAAGTGAAGGAGAAAACGTCTGAAAGAAACCCTTCCTTCATTAAACGGCAAATCTAGAGAAGTACCCGGCAAAACTTTTCAGCCACGTAGATTAACTAGTCCATAGAATCTGAACATCCAGCCCTAAACCAACATTGTAATGGCATGGATAAAGAGAATCATTAAACGGATGGATTAAACAGATAATCGCTGTGATCGCCGAACAGCTGAGCAAGATAAAAGACAGCAAACACGCTAAACAAAACAATATCTGATATCTGCTTTCATCTCTACAGCTAAAAGCGAAATTAAATATAAACCCGTATGGGCTCGAATGGGCCCCAAGTAGAGTGTTGTTAATTATGTGAGGCGAATGTGGGGGGGGCTAATTTACGTCCGAAAATGGAAGTGGGCGAGACACAACCTGATCAAACTAGTTAAAATGGGAGGGAAAAAATTAGGTGAGAGCCCCAATGTAGCAGGAAAGTAAGACGAAAAAAATTTAGTCGTAGCAAGTAAGCGCCAACGTAAAAAGTATCGTACAAAGTCAGACTGTGTTGCAAGTGTCAATCTTTCGAAGCGCTATTTTCAACGAAATATCGTAGTCAATTAAAAATCAAAATATTTAAAAAATAAAATAAAAATGCCAATCTTTAATATTGACACAACAGAGTTACCTTTAGGACCTGATGTCAATATGCTGGATATATTTATGTGTCCACATTTCAAAAGTAGTAGCAAATATGCCGTCACGTGAAACATAAACATGGCAAATAGCCTGGCCAACACGAACCTTTGAGTTGGCTTGTACAGTTGAAACGTAGACATGAGGCAACTACTCAGTGTTTACATTTTTTCATCCACAACACACACATTGTTTACATCTCACCCTCAACACACACACACACATTGTTTCCATCTTCTCACCCCCAGGGTTCAACTTCTACGGTCCATCGGATGTCTTTAAGCCTCGTATGACGCGTTATGGTAGCAACGACGGTGGAGCAGGTAAGTTTGATTTCATCATCTCGTGACCCCTACCTGACCCCACCCGATGACATCAGTGGTGGAACAAGTGACAGTTTTATATTATCACATAGAGACCCCTTCCCGACCCCTTTGGACAGACACATGAAAACAACCTCATCAACAGAGGAGCAGGTACGTGTAAGTTGGATATTGTCACCTAGTGACCCCTGCCTAGCCCCACCCCATGACAGGCACCTCATCAACAGAGGAGCAGGTACGTGTAAGTTGGATATTGTCACCTAGTGACCCCTGCCTAGCCCCACCCCATGACAGGCACCTCATCAACAGAGGAGCAGGTACGTGTAAGTTGGATATTGTCACCTAGTGACCCCTGCCTAGCCCCACCCCATGTCAGACACCTCATCAACAGAGGAGCAGGTACGTGTAAGTTGGATATTGTCACCTAGTGACCCCTGCCTAGCCCCACCCCATGTCAGGCACCTCATCAACAGAGGAGCAGGTACGTGTAAGTTGGATATTGTCACCTAGTGACCCCTTCCTAGCCCCACCCCATGACAGGCACCTCACCAACAGAGGAGCAGGTACGTGTAAGTTGGATATTGTCACCTAGTGACCCCTTCCTAGCCCCACCCCATGACAGACACCATATTATGAGGGGAGCAAGTAGGCAACAACTTGATGTGAGAGATTCTCGCCCTAAATTACACGTTAAGGAAAGTAAAGGCAAGGCGGATGGGCAGAGTGCTTTTATGAATACAGGATCAAAATCAGCGACACATCTTAATCGTGTTGGTTATGTATTATATTTTAGATGTAATGTAGGGCCGTAATAGTTTTAGAAAGTGTTTAAATTACTCTTATAAATTTATATTGGGTGGGTGGTGATGCATAGAATGTAAAATATTTGTATATAGCATGCAGAATATTCTACACACCAACATTGAAGACTAAACCACTTTGATCTGATAAAATATTAGCAGTCTATGTTGAAATAGTTATGTATGACTTATTAAAAAGAGTGACCTCCCATGCAGATAAAAGTACAAGTTCTCAGGGGAGCTCACTCTTAAAATAGTGTATTAAAGTTTTCAACCTGTTGTTTTTCCCCTTAGGTTTCCCAGTGAGCCCAGAGAATGATGACTACATCAAGCTGATTACCTACCTGAACAACGTTGGCAGGCGCAGGAGATAGACCTGTACCAACAATGTATTCATTGACCCCATCATTGTTTTATGGTTGTAAATGATACAGTTTTAAAAAAAACAACTGAAAAAAATCACTCCCAATTTTTAGTGGTTGACCCAGAAAACATATTTTGAATAAAATTGCCTTAGTGAAATAAACTTAAGAAAAGTATGTATTGAGAGTTCATATTAAATTTTTATCTTATCAATAAATCCAGCTCACTTTAATCCAAGCTTTGTACAGTCCCAGTTGAATAATATTTAAAATGGAAAATTCTACTAGATTTGGTGTCTAGCCAAATCTCTAAGTAGAACAACATATTCTAAATGTTCTTTACAACAGAACAGGTAGTAAGTTATTGGAATTTGAACATTTTTCTGATAATTGTTTGATTTTGTCTCAAATTATGTAAAAATATAGACTTGCAATAGAAACTAAGGACAAGATACTATTCACCTTAAAGATATATTTTGTCAGAACTGAAATTAAAATGATCTTATTTCTATTGAGGCAATTTTCTATTTGTTTGAAAATATCTTTCAGTTAAAGAACTTGTAATATACTTGAGTTAAAAAATTAAAGTCTATATATTCATGTTTGTGTTCAATATTCACTGTATTTTATCCCAATCAACAGCCATTATTAGAAGAAAAATGGCTAACTAGTTTTAATTTAGGAACAGGACAATATTGCAGTCTAAAACAGCTTATGGACAGTTGGGTCTGATGGCCATTCTAGACTTTCTTATGATCTGTTGGACATGGTAGCCATCCAGTACAGGGTAAAAAAGAAAAGATTTGTGGGAAATATTAAGGAAAGAAAATGTATTCTTACAGATGACAATAAAAAGCATCTTTGAGAAAAGACTTACCCGTAGTGATCTGTCGTAGGAAGCACTGAAGACCTTAGTGCCAGAGGCAGTGTGTAGAACAGCCAGGGCATAGACTGTCCCATTGTGGCCCATTAGAGTTTCCAGCTGATTGAAAGTGTTGAGCTCCCAAACCTGAAACCATACGCTACATGAAACTTCTAACCAGGCAAGGGAAGCAATGATGAATGTTGCTTACACTGGTCACACTATCTCATTACATGATGCAGAGTCAGAAACAGATAGATTCTACTTTACCTGCTTTACTGGTAACCAGATCTAGCTTTTTTTTAAATAACAAATTATAACTGATAATTTTAGATTAAGTATTACTTAATATATGATGATTGATAATAGTATATAACATGTGATGATTGGTGATTCTAAGCACCACATAATATCTGATAATGATTGAAGTGAAGATGTTGACTCACATGAATACAATTCTCGTAAGTGCCACACAGTATATGATGGTTGGTGATGGCAATGCTGTACACACTACCCCCAGATGTCTCCAGATCACGCACACACTCTAGTTTGTTGATGTTCCAAACCTGTGAGGAACAAATCATTTCATTGGCTGATTCTATGTCTCTAGCTAAGACAGCCATCATTTCATTGGCTGATTCTATGTCTCTAGCTAAGACAGCCATCATTTCATTGGCTGATTCTATGTCTCTAGCTAAGACAACCATCATTTCATTGGCTGATTCTATGTCTCTAGCTAAGACAGCCATCATTTCATTGGCTGATTCTATGTCTCTAGCTAAGACAGCCATCATTTCATTGGCTGTTTCTGTCTCTAGATAAGACACCCATCATTTCATTGGCTGATTCTATGTCTCTAGCTAAGACAGCCATCATTTCATTGGCTGATTCTATGTCTCTAGCTAAGACAGCCATCATTTCATTGGCTGATTCTACATCTCTATCATTGATATAGAATAAATGAATACAACCATCCTCCATCTAGTAAAACTAAAAAACCTGTACACAAATCTTTGTACCTTAACAGTCTGGTAGGAGCCACTCAGGAGATATTCATTGGTTGCAGCCAGTGCCCTCACCCAATGATTTAAGCCTGTCAACTCTTTCTTTAACTCGTAGGTATGTACATCATATACCTGGGGAGGAGAGAGGGGGGGGGAGTTATGTTAGCAGGGCCAAAGCAATATTTGGAAACTAGTAAATAATGTGCACTGACAATGATAGACTTAACACTTGTAAACTGATGCATTTAACATTATAGAGATTTTAAGATCCCTAAGACTGATTCTTCTCCATGTGGGGGATTTGTGATATAGAAGAAATTATGAAGAATATTTTTAATATTTGAAAAGATTTTAAGAGCCCTAATACTAATAATTTGCAAAATAATTGAAGGAATGATATTTAAATATTCATTGTGAACAAATTATTTTATGAGCCCAATACCGAATACAGTTTATGTGGTGAATGGTATTGACTCACCCTGATGACCTTGAGAGATCCACTAAAGAGCATGTTGCTGGCAGCCACAAGTGTGCATACTGGGTTGTCGTTGGATTTGATGATATGGGAGCTCTCATATGTGTCCACATTCCAAACCTAAGTTCAAAGTTCCTTTTATTATGACTTCATTAGTAACACACAAGTGTATACATTTAAATGTTCTAATGTAATTATGTAAATCCTCATAAACGTTCTTTCTAAGTGGAGAATGGTAGTGTGTAACATGTATTTTGTGTGCACGGTGTTCTAAAAGTCTTGTATGTTTTACAAAATGACTGCGAAGCAGTTTCAAAGCTATTTAGTTGCGCTGCAGTTATAGAGAGTATTACTCATATTTACTATATAATACATAGAAATATTAATTACCAGTGTGAAGTCAGAAACAAATTACATTTGAAAGCTTTCAACTGATTTTAAAAAATACAACTCCTTGAAAAAAAAAAGTTCATTCTTTAGGTAATGTTTGAGACAGTGCTGATACTTACAATAATGTTGCAGTCTTGTGAGCCACTGAGCAGCTTATTCCCATAAGTACACAATGCTAAAACACACAGTGCTAATACTTACAATAATGTTGCAGTCTTGTGAGCCACTGAACAGCTTATTCCCATAAGTACACAATGCTAAAACACACAGTGCTAATCTATAATAATAGTTTCGCTGTCTCTCTATCTATCTATCTATCTATCTATCTATCTGTCTGACAAGAACGCTCTAGAGAAAACACAAGCAAAATAAAAACATGCACAGTAATTCGAAAAACGAAATATGACGTCGACACATTTAGCATATTAAAGTTGAAAATAATCTCAAGGCGGAAAGTGCACATAGTAATATAAAATTATAATGACGTCATTGATTATCGCGTAAACATTGAATAAACAGGAAATGTTGTCTAATCTAAATGGTTTGCGTGATGAGTTTCTTGCATACAATTCTTCGGGTAGGGCGAAGCCCCACCCCCCGCGTAAGAACGTCTGAGGGGGGTGGGGGTGGGGGGGGGGGGGTTGAGTGGGGGGGGGGGGGTGGTTTTAATTTAGACTTTTTCCTCCCCGGAGAGGGGTGGGGGTACTTGAAATTTTCGGGGGCGGGGGGTAGAATTTTCGGGGAGGGGGCGGACACTGGAAAAAGTATATAATTATATTTCGTTGAATGGGACGGTAGACATGTTTTTTTAGGGGGGGGGGGGGGGGTTGTGGGTGGGGGGTGGGGGAGGGGGTGGTGTGGGGGGGGGGGATGGGGGGTGAGTGGGGGGGGTGGTTTTAATTTAGACTTTTTCCTCCCCGGAGAGGGGTGGGGGTACTTGAAATTTTCGGGGGCGGGGGTAGAATTTTCGGGGAGGGGGCGGACACTGGAAAAAGTATATAATTATATTTTGTTGAATGGGACGGTAGACATGCTTTTTTTTTTGGGGGGGTGGGGTGGGTGGGGGGTGGGGGGGTGGTGTGTGGGGGGGGGGGGGTGAGTGGGGGGTGGTTTTAATTTAGACTTTTTCCTCCCCGGAGAGGGGTGGGGGTACTTGAAATTTTCGGGGGCGGGTGTAGAATTTTCGGGGAGGGGGCGGACACTGGAAAAAGTATATAATTATATTTCGATAAATGGGACGGTAGACATGTTTTTTTTTGGGGGGGGGGGGTGGGGGGTGGGGGGTGGTGTGTGTGTGGGGTGGTGTGTGTAGGGGTGGGGGTGGGGGGGGGTGGTGTGTGGGGGGGTGGGGGGGTTGGGGTGGTGTGGGTGGGGGTGGGGGGTGGGGGTGGGGGTGGGGGTGGTGTGTGTGGGGTGGTGGTTTTTGTTTAGAGAAAAGAGACAGCACTATCAACCTAGCGCCCGGTGTATCCTTCCTCAACGGGCCATTTTTCTAGTACTTACAATAATGTTGCAGTCTTGTGAGCCACTGAACAGCTTATTCCCATAAGTACACAATGCTAAAACAATGCCAGTATGGCCTTCCATAGTTTTGACACACTTATAGCTGGAGCTTGTGTCCCACACCTGAAATGAATAAAGCCATTTAAAAACTAGAATCTGCTCTACAAAATAATCAATTACTTTTTAATAGAATAATGGAAGATTCATAAAAAACAAAGATAGAACAAAGATGGGACAGCAAGGTCAGATGGTAGAGCATAGGACTGTGAACCAAAAAGTCTGCCCGTTTGGCTGCTGGGTACAAAAGGGTAACTTAATTCCTAATAAAAACAAAAATAATGAAAAATAAAAACAACATTTTGATACAAGGAAAAAGATCTAGAAAAGAATAATAAGTGACACAAGGGAAATAACCAGGGTAAGAAAAATAAAAAAGGACTAAGGGAGAGAACAAATAGATTCCAGCTAGAGCATATTCTGGTATAAAACTCTGATAGTTGTACCGTGTGCTACTTAGCACTGCAAAAGTAAAATTACTCTTTACCTTGATTGTCTTGTCTGTGGATCCACTAAACAGATAATCTCCCATTGTACACAGGCACCAGACTGGACCCTACAGAGAGAAGGGTAAACAATCTATTAGTAGCTGATTTATCTGTTATTTAACTCAAGGTAGATTTATGCTTTTTTAAAGGGAGGCAGAGATTTACTTCACAACCTTGTTAAAGGTAAAAAAAAATTTAAAAAGTTGGGGATGGGTTGTGTTAGGAATGAACACATTTTACAGCAATCATTTATTAAAATGTTGGGGAAAGATGAATGTTAGATTAGGTTATATCTGCTTGACAACACTGCTAAAGATGCTGTGACATTGTCACATGTTATCCAATAAAAATGTAATGGGTATCCTTTTAAAGTATACATTGTGCAATGGTACAGTCATAAAAAAATAATTCTAGCTTACCAGATGACCAACAAATGTTCCTTTGCATTTGAACATTGAGATGGGATCATAAGCTGTGAAAGACATTTATTTTCATGTCAGCTTATTCACTTCAGCATTAATGTATCACAAAAATGTAAGTTGCACTTAATTTTCTGTTTTAAAAATAATAAAAAGTTGATAATAAATATTTTACCTTCTAGTGGAAATTTGTTTTTAAAAAATGTATCTTTCAAGACATTTTATAAATAAATGTTAAATATTGCACTGTTACAATATGTTAGAGCCTACTACATGACATCAAATGACATTTGTTGTGGGAATAGCAAAGTTGTATAACCTAAACTTCTAGAATTCCAGTACATCCTGTGTACAATTTAATTCAACTAAGCTTTGTTTCAATGTAAAATATATCAGTGGAGATGTTACCGAACCAACAGACCCTGATATTAATTTAAATTGAGCTGTTGTGTCTAGATCAGGCCTTACCTCCAGCTGTGGCACCCAGGTTTATCCTCATGCTAATTTGGGACATTTCTTCCTGCAAGTACAGGGTTTAAAATGGTTAATCATCTAGAACTTTTCTATCCAGTTTTTTTTTATTGAATATCTACTTTTCATTAATTGAAGAACTTGATATTTAGAATTTTTGATTATGTCAAAAATTTTCAAAATTTGTTTAGTAAAATTCAAATTTTTATAAAGATTTACTATCATTAACAATTTAGACAGTTCAACTAATGGAATATCATTTACTTAATAATTTTATCACTAAAACTGATTTTAAAATTTTTAAAATTATTAATTTAATAACATTTATTTAAGAATGGCTATAAAAAGTAAAAATCAAACATTCAGAAATAAATGAACAAACACAACTCACTGAAAGGGCTGAAATATCTTTTCTGTTGTCCAAAATCTCATCAAATATTTTGTTCTGATTTCGATCTACCAGCTCTGTACATATTTAAATTCATCAAGTTACAACAAATATTTAAATGAGTATAACATAAAGCATTCTTATAGCAATAAATTTGTATTCATTTTATATTTATGTATTATTTGCTATAGTTTCTACACATAAATAGGTTACTCATTAATATAGAGAAACTAGAAAAAAAAATTAGAATAAGAGGGAGAAGCTCAGTATTATAAACTTTTGTTTTAACCCCCTTTAAAATCTCTAAATTATTTTTAACAAGTATTTTTTAAGCAATATGTTAGAACGAACTTAAGTTACTTAATAAACTGTAAAAGATGTTACGTGCCTGAGAAACTGCAGAATCTCATCTCAACATTCTTCTCCATGTTTTCCAGTCTCTCCGAGAGGCGACCAAGCATGGATCTCAGAAACTCAATCTCCTGGTCTTTTTGATTTAAATGCATCTGGGAATTAAAGCAAAGTTAAAATTTCTGTGCCCTTTATCACCAAGAATTAATGATAAAATTATGATCTAGCTTTAATTTCATTAGTTTGTTGTTTTGAGATAGATATTTACAAGAAACATTTTTGACATTGCAGATACTAACTTGTAAGTCAGCGACTTTCTCATCGATTCGATGAATAAAATCTTTCATTCCTTCAAATCTACAAGATTTCAAGTGCTCTTCCATTTCCTCTTGTGTGCCAATGAAATCGCAACTAGTTTAAATTGTAATTCAAATATTACTTTTACAGCAAAATATTACTAACCTAACCTCTTGTAACAGTTCAGAATACTAAAAAAATAAACGAAAATGTAAAAAAAAAAATTTAATAAATGTACCTATATTTCTTGTATGGGCAGTTGACGTGATTACAAGACCTTAAATGGTCATCCAGGTCCTACACAATAAAAAACAAAATGTATACTCAGAAAGAATATCTGTGATTTTTAATTGAAAATTGAAACTATTCCATTATTTTTAATTTTTTGTGTTTTAAAATACTTTGTATTAAATTCAAAGAATTACTTTCTTAAGCAGCTGGGGACACCCTGCGTTGTTTGGACATTCCACCGGCATAAAATCACAATCACTTTCATGGTCCCTGGTGGAGAAAACATTCTTCATTCAGTAAATAAGTCAACAAACTTTATGCTTTTACATTAAATGTACATTAGGGTTAACACACGACACTCTACATTATGATTCCCATCCCCAATATAATTTCCAGCAAGGAGAAATAAATTTGAGTTTAAATACATACTTTCGTTGACTCATTCTCAATTTCATAGGGCATCTTGTAGGATCTGCAATGTATTTCTTCAGGGCCTGGTCGTAGCAGCAGCCATACTTGCAGTGGATCATCAGCTCCCCAATTTGTTCTGACACTGCAATGTTAGCCACCATCACAACCAGTCGCTGTTCATCTACTGGGCACACGCCTAGAACATAATTTCACATCACATGTAGTGATTAGAGGATTCAATAATATTTTTAGTATCCTCACTTTTTCATGAAAATTTTGCAATATTTAAAAAATAAAGCTTTTTATGTGCCAATAAAGTTTTCAAAATATCTAAACACATTTTTGCAATATTTAAAGACTTTAGCTTTTAAAGTGCCAATAAAAATATGTAAACTTTTTTATTAGTTTTGCAAAACTATACCTTATTATGATTTTATAAACAAAAATGAATACCTACCATCTGACTTAGCTTGAACACAAGATTTGCAATAAGTGTGCTGAAAACAAACAATTTACTAGTGTTACAATTACATCTTTATGTAGTATTAGTGGACAGAACATTTATTTTCACACATTAATCAATGGCTTTAACTTGAGGACTTCAATGACACAAGTAAAATAGAAAGATGGCTGCTCACCCCACAGCTTACTATAACTGGATCCTTAAACACTGAATCACAAAGTCGACAATACAACTTTTTGTTGGGGCTGTCAACAAACACTAGAACTTCCTGAAATATATAAGAAGTGAAAGTAGTTCATTTATCTTCATAATAAACGTAGTATTTGAAAAAAAAAATTTTAATTGACTTATTTCTTACGTCTTCTTCCTCCATGATTGACCTAGCTGAGTGATTTGAGTTCCTGCGAGATGATGGAGATAGAAAAGCCCCACCAGCCTAAAACAAATAAAATTAAATAGCAGTGTTAAGTGTGGGCTCAAAAGGTTGTGATGGACATCACTGTGTCGAAAAAGTCCTAATGAATACCTTGTTTAAGTCTTAAATTGTATTGGGCAGCATATAGAAATGCTCAGTTCCTGATCAGTTTGCCATCACTGGGTCCACCCACTTTTGGTGACTATGTTATCCAGGCACATGGTTTTGTACTGGCTACACAGTTCACATGTATTGTGGTCACAGTAAAACACACTCTGGGGACTTCATCTACCCTATGGTCCTCAAAACAGTACTTAGTTATTTTACTGCTTAAATTTGTGACAGACTGCTAAGACATACTGATGTTAGTTGAGGAAATACAGGATTGCTGGGTAATGTGCTCAGTACTGAATTTTTTAGTCTCTATTTTATTTTCATTTTAGTCAAGTCTTAAGAAACTATTTTTTTTTAAAATAGTGAGAATAATAAACGTTCAAAAGTGGTTAATATTTTTATAACAATTGAATAGCTACGAAAACTGATGGATTAGACAATGTATCTTTAACTTACCTGAAGGAGGTAGCTACCAAAACCAGAATCTAATTTTATATGTGGCTGCTGTTCATCTACATTAGCTTCAGTCAGCAAACTTTCAGCATTAGGAAATACATCATCATCATCAGCTGAAAAAAAAACATATTCCCCAATCAGTATACGCATTTTATTTTTTTTTTAAGATTAAGTCAACATCACCAAAACTTTATAGATTTTTTTCAACAAAGTTTTAAATTCCTACAAGTTAATTTTTTTAATTAGACACTTATATTAAGTCACTTCAAATCTATTTGTGGTTGATGCAAATAATTTTAAAATATAATCAGATTTTGTAATTACATAAGTGTGGTGTGGCTAGTACATAACTCTAAAGTAAATAAATTTTCAAAAATGCTTTATGACTAGATGCAATAGCTATAATAGATACATTAATTAATATTGGTTAATATCAAATAGAAAAACTTGTATGCAGATGTTTCAGAAATTGGCTTAAATTATGCTTTTCAATTAAAATATTGATGCAAATGTTGGCCTATGAGATAAAAAAAATGTATAAAAATCAATTGTTTTCTTACCAAATTTTAGAAATGGAATTGTCTTGGCAGAACCTGCCATTGCCATTTTAAAGTTTTAATCTAACTGTACTACAACATGCTTGGCTACCAACAACACCAAAACTGACATCCTACATGCTGCAAAATAATGTATTAGTAATCAACTAGCAAACATAATAGAAACAATGTTTTTTTTAATAAAGAAATTAATTACTCTAAACATACTTCATAATTTTAATCTATATATATAATTCTCTTCTGGGAGACGCTAGAAAACAAGCTGTAAACGCGCTCCCTACCATCCCCACCTCTACATGGTCTTAGTGAGCTGTGGTTCACGCTATGTTTACCTTCGTGGAGTCGGGTTTAGTGACGGCTATTAGGGGCAGATAATTTAGTTTGAAACAATTTTAACCGTTTGGGGGGGGGGGGGGGGGGGGGGGGGGGGGGGGGGGGGGGGGGGGGGGAAAGGAAGGGGGGGTTATGGTCCTTAACGAGCTACTTATAGTGTTTTAAAGAATATTTTTCAGTGTCCAGCGTTGGTACTGTCGAATTCACAAATTATGAATTACTGAAAAGGAAAAAAAACAACAACTAAATAGCGGCGTATGTTATGCCGCGGGCCGGCTCGTATTTTTTAAAAAGCTACTATGAAATATCAGTTTTTTATTGACTGTAAGTATATTAACACCACAACGATCATATTGTTAGGTATAAATGAGAGGTTGTCCATAAATAACATCACACTGTTCTGGATAAATTTTAATCCCCCCCCCCCCCATTCATCTTCACCAAAAATTCTGACTCCCCCTTGAAAATGATCATTAACATTGTTCCTGTTGACCCCTTGGGGAGTATAGGAACGCAACCACACCTCACCATCATACTTGGCTAGGGTCAGCGACATTCCAGCCTCTGCTTCACTGACAACTAATCTTTTCAAAATGATGCGTCTCTTCTTATTAAAAATATTAACTGAGCTGTGTCAACATTACACATATGTATCAACTGATTTTACAATTTACAAGAAACTCTTTAAAACCTGTAAAATATTTGTTTTGAAAACCATCTTTCAAAAATAACACATTCTCCAAGCCCAAACCTCCACCCCCCCCTCCATCACTAAAGGCCATTGCCCTTCACCCCTAGTAGGAGTGTGACAACCCCTATAAAAGAAGATAATAATAATAAGAAGAAATTATTTTATTAAGAAGGTGCGATTAAACTTAAAAACTTTCTAAATTTGAATTCTTAAAATAAATGTAATTGTTAATTGAATTTACTAAGTTTAACTGAATAAAATTTTAATTAAACAGTTAGCTTTATAAATTATATGGGGTGGAGGGGGTTAATTAATTAATCATCAGACAATTCATCAGAAACTAATAACTTACAGATGTTCTATTGCAAGAAAAACAAGGAAATCATTAGTATAGCCATCCAACCCTGTACTATTTATTTTATAGTAGTCCTAAAGAATTTATATACTAAGGCCTAATTATATATGATAAACTTCTATATATAGCACAGAAAGTCAGGAAGACTATAAATAGTAATAAATACTTGTTGACTGTCATTAAATAACAGGGCTACATAGGCTTACTTTGTGTTGAGAAAAAATATAATTAACAGTTTTTTTTTTATATAAGATAATTTCACCTTAATAAAATAATGGTCAAACAAAGTGTTTAATATTCTAAAAATGAATTAGACAAAACAAATGCACTCTTCATGACAAGGAAAAAGATTAATTCTACATTTTTTGCTCAAAGTCTAAACTAAAAGAATATTTTGCTTTTTTACAACAATATGATTGTCTTTATTTCATTAAACAAAGGTATTTTTTTTTCTTTCCTTTTAAAGGCAACAATATTGTTACTTTTTTATCTCACATCATTGAATATTGTGTGCCAAAATAATATGCACCATATGGTTTTTAGACTAAGAATTCAGCCTGTGTTTCTTTTTTACTTTTTAGATGCCCCAAAACCATCAGCATGGCATCACTTGTTTAATTTTTGAGTTTTCTCTCCTTGAGTATATGGGTTGCTATTCCTACCTAATGATCCCCATCTGCCTAGGGCACAGGAAAACTCAGAACTTTCAGGTTAGGAGTTATGCACTCTACCAACATCAAAAGTTCAAATATTTCCTCAAGGCTCAATTAAACACAAGTATGAAATTATTCTAAAAGGTGTAGTAATCCATTTTTTAATTCATTAGCATCATTCCTATTAAGTTAATGAGTTTTCATGCAACATGCTAAGTAAGTAATTTAGATTTTATTTTTATTCACGTACAGAATCTTATGATGTGATACAAATTAAAATGTACAATTTCTTTATGGATTATGTGGTTCAAGATTTTGGTGAGATAGGACCAATCCATGAGCCATGAGTAGGCCTACTTATGAAAGACCTTTCACCTACTATATGTAACTATAGGTCATTAGCAGTTAATACTTTATAATGTAACCAGTAAATCTATAGAGTTTAGTTATATTTAGATTTTGGGATTTACTTACAATCTTTTTACAAATTTTAAAATTATAAAATTTAGTGATCTGATCAAGTTCATTATTAGGCCAATAATTTCTCTAAAACTAAAATCTCTAGAATTTCTATTCTAGCAGTAGGAGTTAATTTCAAGCAGAATTACTTCAGTAAGTTTAGTTGATCCATTAGACTCAACTGCATTTCTTAATCATATTGATGTCATTATGTGCAATATTAATTAGCCTAATATTAGGCCCATCTATATGCCTAATATTAATGACTGAATTAGGCCTATAGACATTATATTTTAGGGTGTTAGTAAATTATGAGACACAAAACACAAAATGGCGAGACGGTAAATTATGTGAAGGATGCGAAAACCACCGGTCACCTGACATTTTTGTCTCACATTTTCCCCCCAGCCTATACTTATGTTGGGTGGGGGTAAAATGCAAAGATATCCGCGAAAATTATACCACATACAGTGTAACAAGCTTGGTTGCATCAGATAAAAAAATAGCATACAGGACTATTTAATTTACGTATTACTAAAAACTTAAAAAGTGTTAATAAAACTGTTTTTAAAACAAGGTAATTAAAAAGTCTAGTGACAATTTTAGCACAATTTCCTTATGTTATCTAAAAATAGCTCTGTCGTAGCGTAAATCAAGAGCAGGGTTAGTAAAACCATTGGTTAGTTATTAAAACGTTTATTATTAATTTTTTTCAGTATTTTACATGTTTTATTTACAATAGAGTTACATGACTAAAAACCATTGCGCGCCTACTGAACGTGATGGCGCAGCCATGGAACGCAATGGCGCAGCTATTGAACGTGATGACGCGTGTGGTGTGGTTGGAAAAAAATGCCTACTAATTCGGTCCAAATTTAATTAATTCAAAAATTTTTTGTGACCGAACGAAAGGATATTTTTGAAAACTTTCTTCGGCAATATTGTTCTAAATTATGGCAGGAATCGATTGGTACATGTTTCAAGTCGCTAAGTGGTCTGGTTGCCGAGATATGGGCCAAAAACTGAATTTTTTCGAGGTTTTTTGGCTTTTCCGGGAAATACATGAAAGAAACCCGGAATTTTTATGGCCTATGCTCATTCTCGTAACTTGCTTAACATAATTGCTTTTGGAACTAGTCATCGATATTGCTTCGTTGAGGAGGAGATACGACTTAAAGCCCGGACACACATTCATCCATACATTCATTCATCCATACATTCATCCATCCATTCCCAGAAATGACGAGTTAATAAACGCAATTCTCCAGAATGGAAATTGCGCTAAAAAGTACAAGAAATATTTTGTAACTGGGGGAATTTTTATACTGGTGTCTAATAATAGAATCTTCTTAAAAAGGGGCATTAGGTTACTCACGGTTACTGGTAGTTAACTATACATGATTTGTCACAATTTGTGACACACAGCTTGCTAATGTCAATGATAACGGTTTGGTTTAACCCTATCCTTAAGAGAGTGTCTATTGGTACTTCACTACAAATAGCCTTCAGAGGGCTATTCGTACTTCGCTATTTTTAGCCGACCAATCAAATTTATTTTTAAATTCATTGTCCTGCAGTTTGTGTATCAGATTCAAATTTTGTGGATTGTCGTATCAGTTCCGGTGGTCGAAGTGGTTGCGCAATGGCTTACTAGTTTTTCGAGGCGTGGGTTCGATTCCCGCTGGCTCAGAGGGGTTTTTTTCTTTTTTTTTTTGCTTTTTTTTAAAATTTGTTTTTTAAGGATTAGGGTTTAGCATTAGGGTTAGGGTTAGGGTTAGGGTTAGGGTTGGGGTTAGGGTTAGGGTTAGGGTTAGGGTTAGGGTTAGGGTTAGGGTTAGGGTTAGGGTTAGGGTTAGGGTTAGGGCTAGGGTTAGGGCTAGGGTTAGGGCTAGGGTTAGGGTTAGGGTTAGGCATAGGGTTAGGGTTAGGGTTAGGGTTAGGGTTAGGGTTAGGGTTAGGGTTAGGGTTAGGGTTAGGGTTAGGGTTAGGGTTAGGGTTAGGGTTTGGGTTAGGGTTAGCGAGATCTAAAAAATAATTAGTTCTATATCTATACAGCATGTAAAAGATGAAAAAGGGAATTCAAGAATTAAAAAAAAATGCCGCACGCTGATTGGTCAGAGTACGAATAGCCTTCATAGGGCTATTTGTAGTTTACTACGAATAGCCGCAGCCATCCTTAACCTCCAATCCTATCATATGCCTAGCCCTAATTTCTAACCATAAATAACTAGTCGAGATTAGTGTATCACTATGATTTTTTTTATAAGCCAAGGGAGTCTAGTAGTCTAGTAAATTAGGGTTGTATGGACATGGTAGGACCATGGTTGGGGTTAGGGATAGGGACGACAGGGTTAGCATTGACATTACTAATGTCATTAGCCAGCCATGTGTGTGTTTATTTAATTAACAACCAGTAACCTAACACCCCCTTTTTAAAAAAGAAGATTCCATTCTCGGACATCGGCGGCATAAACATTCTCCCGATAAATCTATATTCTAGATCTAGATTCTAGTTCTAGTCTATGATGCTGACTGAGTGAGCTATTTCCTGGTACCTGCTCTACTGCTCTGGCCTAAAAAAAGTAAGATGACAGTGTATTTTGTGTATTGTCTTGAAGTGTGTTTCTAGACTCCAGACTTGTCTCAAAGCCGTAGCTTCTAGATCTAGACCTAGATCTAGATCTAAATCAAAAGCAGATGTGATGTTAAGAACTTGTGCTGTTTTAGTTGTTAGATTTAGACTAGATCCAGTTTTAGTTCTATGGGCTATATCCGAGGATAGAAATTTGGAGCTCTTTCTTTTTAAAGATTATTTTCAAACACTGTTTGGGCCTTGGTTTAATTTTTTTTTTTTAATTAGGCCTAGCCTAGAATCTATCTGATTTATACTTGATTCTAGGCCTAAGGGGTCATCCATAAATGACGTCACGCATTTTTGACGATTTTACCCCCCCTCACTTCCGTCACATTCGTCACAAAAAGCCAGACCCCCTAAAATGACGTTACACCTCAGCCTACAACCCCCTCCCTCCAAATTGCAGTTGAATTTTTTTTTTAAAACGTCGTTATTTTTCCAAAATCTTGTCTGAACTCTGTCAAAATAGCCTATTTTAATCAATTCCTAAACTAAAAATTGGGTGTGGCGAAATATGCCCTTGTGGCAAGGCCCCGGAAAATACGGAGCACGTCCTCCAGGAATGCCCTTTATATAGCTAGGCGCGAGTCTGACACTGGCCCCTGATCACCCCACTCAGGGAAAAATTATATGGGGCACCTGCTGAACTGGAGACCACAGTCCGGTTTATTCACGAAGTTGGACTTGTTGTCTAAATCCTCCACCATATTCTCAATATAAAGATCGAAGAAGAAGAATCAATTCCTATTAAAATGTATTAAACAGTTTTCTAAAACGCGAAATAACGTCTAAAATTCGTTTTCTAACATTGCTTTTTTATAATGCAAAAGTGTGACGTCGCACCATCTGAACTCCCTCTCCCCCTCATCACACACCGTCACAAAATTACCGACCCCCCCCCCTACCCCCTTCAAGTGTGACGTAATTTATGGAGGAACCCTAAGGAGAGAGAATCGCGAATATATGAAAAACAAGTACATTGTTCCTTTGTAACCTGACAACAAAGAGGGGGGGGGGGGGAGAGGGGACGAGGGAGGTCGGCAAATCACGCAAAGCGTGTCACTCGGGGGAAAACGAGTGTGACGTCTTTTATGTACGACCCCTAATCTAGGTCTAGATCTAGTAGTACTAGCATGTGTCTCCTAATCTTTACCATTTTGTTGCTTTATAGAAACTAATCGTTAATTTGAAGACATGTAAAAACCTACTGCCAACGAATGGAAACAATATATCAATATCTAGATCTAGTCTGCTTTAAGAAAAAGGTGGGGGATGGGGTGAAGTGTGTATATGTCTCTTTAAATGCGGTACAGAGGCGTATCCAGGTTTTCGTTGTAGGGAGAGCGAAAAGAGCAAAAAAAGGCGCCGAACTTTTAACACGTTCTATATATATATATATATATATATATATATATATATATATATATATATATATATAAAATTCCTAGCTGTATGTCATTACTTCGCTATGATGTAAAATAAATTGAAAGTAGCACTCTGAAGAAATAAGAAAAAACACACAATGTAGGCCGACAAAACAAAAATTATATCTATCTAAACAATATATATATATATATATATATATATATATATATATATATATATATATATATATATATATATATATATATATATATATATATACACTACAACCATAAACAATGAACGTAACACAATCTGTTTTGTAATTCTTGTAAAAAAAATTTCTTACATAATAATTCCTGGGAAATTATTTAAGACAATAATCACTCTCTTAATATAAATATGTATATATCTACACATTTAATTATAAATGTCAAAACAAATAGATAATTACTTTAGAATATAATGAAATTGTTTAACACTATTCGTGTTTACCAAATGTTTTTGTCTATAATCAAAATTTAATATATCGTCATCATAAATGCCAAAGTATTACAGCATAATGAAAGTTTTTAAAATCAGAGTTGGTATAAAAGCAAGCTTTTCGATGTATTAGAGATTCATTCGGATTAACAGCCTACATTTACCTAACTAACTGTTTTTTTTTTAAAGTTCAGATCATATATTTTAATTAACTACTGCTTCTTTGTGTTCTTTAAAGATCATTTTTTAACATAGTGATAGGTATGGGTTAGATCCCTGTATTGATCACACACCGATCTTTACTGGTAATTGCAAAAACAATATTCACAGAGTTTTACGTTTAAAAAGCTAATTTTCTGGCGGCATGGTACTTTGGTACATCATTACGCCTTTTTCTACATGTACTTAACAGATCAGTTCGGGGTGGGTTGGGGGGGGGGGGGGTGTTCAACTTCATTCGCCAATGTCCGGTCACTTTAGGTCAATTATCTAACCCAGTGTATACCTAGGTGGGACATTAATGTCGCTCTACACAATTGTGGTGGTGAGGTGTGTGTCTGGGGCCGGGGGGGGGGGGGGGGGATAACCAACTCAGAGTGAACATAGAGTCAGTTTTTAGATAACTGTTCTAAACAGACATATATATTACACAAATATATTTTACACAAATATATATTACAGAAATAGATTTAAATAAGTAGTAGTGGTATTATAACAATATTTTTTTTACAGTGGGGTCCATGAGGGTGGGGGGGGGGGGTGTAACTGTTAATACGTGTTGTAAACGTAGACACTACTAGACTAGTACAATAATGCTTAATTGCTGCATGAAAAGAAATCTTGTGATTTACATAGATGTGCCGACCAAAAATATTTTTTTAACAAATGTCATTGTTTAAAACTTTGAGTTTAAAAAGTTTCCAAAAAGGCGCCACTTTGCTGAAAATGGCCAGAGGGGGAGCGGCCGCTCCCCCTGCTCCCCCCCCCTGCGTACGCTACTGATGCGGTATTATTGAAAATTAAGTTAAAATTAGGTAATGAGAAATTATGCAAATGTTATTTACAATTCCAGTTTATCTAATTCTAATAATATATGTGAGATTTTAATTAAAAACAGCATGAAATGGTAGGCCCAAAATTAATAACTAGATCTATATAGGCTAAGGAATATCGCGGTCAATGTTTTCTATTGCTACCACCATGTTTAGTTACTTAGAGAAACCAAAGCTGTGTTATTGTCATCTTAGGCTAGAATCTACTTTGTTTTTTTTACAACAATCAGATGCTTGTTCGTTTGAAATATTACAGTTTTAGATATTAAATACTAAATACAGACCAAATACTCAGTTTTCTTTTAGATTCTATATTTGCAGTGTTAAAGTAAGTCACCACTGCGGCTGATATTTGTTGAATCGACGCTTTGAACCGAACTTTGTTGAGTGACTTGAGTTTGAGTCTTTGAATTTTGAATGAATCAAATTCACTCACTGAGTCTCACTCTATTGAAAAGCAATGGGTGACCCCGATTGTACTTATCCATAATTATAATAAACTAGGCCTAAGCATAATATTATTAGAATAATAGCCTAAAGCGTAAAATATCAAAAATTGATTCTATAGGCTACTACTTCACTGAGATCAGTTAGGCCTAATAAATGGCTAGCCTAATAATTTTAATTTAACATAAAATTAATTTTATAAGACCGATGCTAGCCCGAAAAAGATATGCATGCACAATGGAGAGAAACTACGACTTGCCATCGCGGCGATGTTTTCGGTGGTACTGCGCATGCGTGTGTTTACAACAGCAGAACCCTAACCCCAATCATATCCCTAATCCTACCCATAACCCTAATTCTGACCCTAGCCATAGGTCACTGCGCATGCGCAGAACTATCTTTTGCTGACCAATTGGAGACGTTGGGGAGAAAAATCTTTTTTCGAGTAGTCACTTCGATTTTATAATTAGGCCTAGGCATTCAATAAATTAATAAAATAATTAATAATTGGGCCTAGGCTAATGCACTTTGACCTTTTTACGACGAAAAAAAGATCTTTTTATAAATTGAAATAACTGCTAAAATTCAATTTCCAACATTCCTTTTTTATTGTACAAAAGCCTTGAATGACAGCCCTTAGGGCTTAGGTTAGGCCCATAGATTTTATTCTCTTGTAGGCCTATACTTTTATAAATTTGAATGATCGGATATTGAAATATAGACCGAGTTATACTATAAAGTATAGATTATAGAATTAAAAGAAAAAGAAAGGTAATGTTTATTACTTCATTTTGCTTATGATCTGGTTTCTTTACACAGAAATATTCTATACTATTGGTATAACTTTAGTCCGTGAAAATACATAGTCATCACTTGGATAAAAAATGGTTGTGGGGTGTAACTCTAAAGCTACAAAAGCCCAATCACTACAAAGTTTATGCCTTATAGTATATTATAAATATAAATTCACGAAGTGAGTCTTGCATGTGCAACTGGTATTTTGTTTTTATCAGATACCTTTGTCACCCTTGATTTCTGCACAACAATAATGTGCCTTATTTTTTTCCTATTCTCTTAGCTTCTCTCTTTTGTACCACTATGGCAGATGAGGAAACAAGTAGAGCTGATTCACATCACAGTAGCTCCCCTGCAACACCAAGTATAAGTAACCCAGGAACACCAAGATCCGAAGTTGCCCAAGACATTAGAGCAACACCTCCATTGGCAAGAGCAACCCCACCCCTGGCCAGGGCCACACCCCCTTTAGCAAGAGCAACACCTCCACTAACACAAGTTCAGCCACAGCTACTGCATGGGCCACCTGTTATCCCAGTGAGAACCATTACACAGGCCCCTCCAGCCCCTTCCCCTCTGGCACACTTGCATCACCACCAGAGTAAATATGCATCTCTCCTTGCTGTTATAGAGGACATGGGAAGAGACATTAGACCAACTTACGCAGGCAACAGGAGCTCCACAGAAAGGTTGAAACGAAGTATAGTCCATGCAAGAATTCTTGTCAGAGAGTGTTTGATGGAATGTGAACGGAGTGCTCGCACCTAAATGTTTCATTTTATCTATAAATTATAATGAATATTTTATATTCAGATAAAAACAATAACATGACTTGAATGTTTTAAATGTTGTGTGCATGTACATATATTATTAACAGTTTGCTTATGTCTTTTTAATTTCAACAAATGTATCACATTCTATGTATGTTGTAACAATGACAATTTTAAATAGAAAATCCCATATCTTCTATGAAGTTTGTTTTTAAAAGTTACATAGCACACTTTTTTTTAAATTTTATGTCATTCAATTATAAATTAACTTAATTATGATACTGCTACTTTTTAATTTTAATATTTATCATTGAGGCTAAAATTATTATACCTTGAAAATAATCTGGTAACAATGGCAGAAAGTTTGGTGGCTGTATTGTTAGTCTTATATTTACCATACTAGTTGGTTTTTTTTATTGCAAAACAAGTTTACTTGATAATAAGTATTGCTTGAAAATAGAATTTTTAAAATTGTATCTACTTACTGAAGTGAAACTGGTTTAAGTTTTCAGCTCTGTATTTTTGTGCTCTTAATTTTAGTTGTACCATTTGTTTTATGTCATTCTATTTCTTGGTATGAAAATAAAAATGTAAACCTTTTAATTAATGAATTAATAACACGTCTATTAAAATGTATTATTGTAAATTTGTCAAGTGTTTATTTTAAGTAAAGTACGGTAACCAGCATGTATCTGTATTTGAGTTTTCATTTTTCTGACAGACATGGCATTGTTGTATACTATTGTAACTGCTGAGACTTTCTACCCAGAAATCAGGAATCAAATTTTAATCTTGGTATCATTGTTCAAATAGCCATGATCTGGGTGAAGCATATTGCTTTTGTTTCTTATTTCATCAGGTAAGGCCAAAGGATGAAAGGCAGCAACTTTATTTTCCACTTTTTAGTTATGTGTTTGAAACGAAGATGGCACTACATAGGCACCGTCTAAAATAGTAAAAATATTTGCGTTAAAACCCGACCTGTTGCTTGTGATTTCTAAAGTTCAATTATCTGCCCCTACTTTATTTTCCCCCGAGACATCAAGCGATCGCTAGTATTTTATCTTGTTACCTCCCCTTTTATTATTGAATATAGTAATCTTTAAAATTAATTTTAAATGACTAACCTAATGTCTAAATTGATAAAAAAAATATATATATAACATATATATATATAACATATATATATATAACATATATATATATATATAACATATATATATATATATAACATATATATATATATATATAACATATATATATATATATAACATATATATATATATATAACATATATATATATATAACATATATATATATATATAACATATATATAACATATATATATAACATATATATATATATATATATATATATATATAAGACAATTTATAACAATGACCAATGGGTAAATAATTTTAAAAATTAAACAAATAGGCCTATAACGTATCTAGTTTTTTTAATCATCGTCATAAACCAAGTTACATTAATGATTTCTTTAAAAGTTACATAATTAGAATTAATGAAATTTGACAATTAAGGTATATTAGATTGGTCATACTGTGCTAAAAATCTAGAATGCTAAATATAAGAAAAATATTATTTTTAAGCAAACTGAAGAGTTTAAACATATTGTATTGCGATATAGATTCCTGAAAACTCTAGTATAAGATGCAAAGAAAATATCAAAATGTAGTAGCTAGAATTTTACTATAATAGCAACATTAAATAGTAGCATCTAAGTGTCAAGTTAGATATGGTCTAGGGGAGTTATCAAGATCATGTGAAGCGGACTATTTCTTGTTTCATGACTGTACATTTCTGTTTTAGGCCACTGTGTCAATGAGTTATGTACTGTTATGCTATGGGCCACTGTGTCAATGACATGTTTACTGTTATGCTTTGGGTCACTGTGTCAATGACATGTTTACAGTTATGCTTTGGGTCACTGTGTCAATGCCATGTTTACAGTTATGCTTTGGGTCACTGTGTCAATGACGTGTACAGTTATACTTTGGGCCATTGTGTCAATGACATGTTTACTGTTATGCTATGGGTCACTGTGTCAATGACATGTTTACAGTTATGCTTTGGGTCACTGTGTCAATGACATGTTTACAGTTATGCTTTGGGTCACTGTGTCAATGACATGTTTACAGTTATGCTATGGGTCACTGTGTCAATGACATGTTTACAGTTATGCTATGGGTCTCTGTGACAATGACATGTACAGTTATACTTTGGGGCCACTGTGTCAATGACATGTTTACTGTTATGCTATGGGTCACTGTGTCAATGACATGTTTACAGTTATGCTTTGGGTCACTGTGTCAATGACATATTTACAGTTATGCTTTGGGTCACTGTGTCAATGACATGTTTACAGTTATGCTATGGGTCACTGTGTCAATGATGTGTACAGTTATACTTTGGGCCATTGTGTCAATGACATGTTTACTGTTATGCCATGGGTCACTGTGTCAATGACATGTTTACAGTTAAGTTTTGGGCCACTGTGTCAATTATGTGTGCAATTTTTCTTGTTACAGTTCAGTAAATAAGGGTTGCAGGTTTTTATTCCAACACTTCGTCTGTTGGGGATCTGTATTCGGCCACCGTGTCACTTTCATATGTACAGTTAAGTTTTTGGCCAACATGTTAATCAGACGTAAACAGTTCTTTCATTGGCCACTGTGTTAATTAAGTGTAGGCCTACACAGTTCTGTTTTTGGCCACTGTTTTAATTAGGTGTGCACAAATCTTTGTCAGCTAATGACTGGGCGCTAGAATATTGGGTTCATATTCGTCTTTTGGGATTTCCATTTCTGGGTAGGTTGCTGTTTGTTTTTTTGCAGGTTGGCTTTCTTCTGCTTGTACTAATTGCTAGTTGGTATTGTCAATGAGGCTAGAAACTGAAGTGCTATCGGGTTGCGGATGTTTGCTGATTCATTACTTGTTGGGTGAGTGACTTGCGGATAACTGCTGATTCTCGGTCGTGCGGGATGCTTGTCGGCTAGCGGACCAACTGGATAGCTGTTGACTAATTAGTTTGCTGCTAATTAGATGGCGGCAGGTTTGTTGACATGTATATGGCGGCAGGTTTGTTGACGTGTATAAGGCTGGCGTCTTGATTGTGGACGTGTGGGCTAGCTAGTAAAGCGTTGATGATTTATAAGCTGGCGTCATTTTTGTTGAGAGCTAGCAGGCTATATGTTGAAGATTAGAAGCCTGGCAGCTGGTTGGCTGTGGGTTAGTGAATCGGCTGATAACGGACGCTAGACATATTGAGGCTGGCTGGTAATACGTTGATGGATGGTTGGATGGTGTCTACTCTGTTATTTGCTTTTGGGCTGATACTGTTTTGACATATAATAGGTTGACGTCCATTTTCTTGTTGGTAATACATTGACTGATAATAGGCTGGCTTCTTCTTGGTTGTGAGCTGACTGAAAAATTATGGTTGATTTTTATTTTACTGCTTCTCTTTATATATTGTAATATTGTAAAACAATAATTCCTAATCGGATTGATTACTAAGCAACACAAACAAATATATTGCTTCTGTTGTGTATTGCTAACCATAAACAGTATTGAATATTTATTAGCACTGAGAGCTAAACTGTGAAAACTGAGCGTTAAGAGTTAGGAACTCACCATTCATTTCTGAGTGCTAAATCTTTCTGTCAGTTGTGTTGCAGGATTCTAGTTGGGTTGTAGAATTCTTATTGACTTGCTTAATTCTTGAAGGGTTGCATGATTCATGATGTGTTTCAGGATTTATAATGGGTTGCAGGATTCTTGTGGGTTGCAAAAAATCTTGTTGGGTTGCAGAATTCTAGTTTTTGGCAGGATTCATGTTGGGTTGCAGAAATCATGTTGGGTTGCAGAAATCATGCTGGATTGCAGAAATCTTGTTGGGTTGCAGAAATTATGCTGGATTGCAGAAATCTTGTTGGGTTGCAGAAATCATGCTGGATTGCAGAAATCTTGTTGGGTTGCAGAAATTATGTTGGGTTGCATAAAGCATGTTGGGTTGCATAAATCTTGTTGGGTTGCAGAAATTATGTTGGGTTGCATAAAGCATGTTGGGTTGCATAAATCTTGTTGGGTTGCAGAAATCTTGTTGCGTTGCAAAATCTTGTTAGGTTGCAGAAATCATGTTGGGTTGCAGAAATCTTGTTGCGTTGCAGAAATCTTGTTGGGTTGCAGAAATCTTTTCTTTTTTACAGGATTCGCCGGTGTTAAAAATCACGTTGGGTTGTAGAAATCATGTTGGTTTGCAAAAATCTTATCATTTTTGGAGGATTTGCATTGGGTTGCAGAAATCATGTTAGGTTGTAGAAATCATGTTAGGTTGTAGAAATCATGTTGGGTTGTAAAAATCATGTTGGGTTGTAGAAATCATGTTGAGTTTCAGAATCTTTTCTTTTTTTTTTTTGCAGGTGTCACGTTGTGTTGCAGAAATCATTTTGGGTTGTAGAAATCTTGTTGGGTTATAAAAAGGATGTTGGGTTGCTGAAATCATGTTGGGTTGCAAAATCATGTTGGGTTGCAGAAATCTTGTTGGGTTGCAGAAATCATGTTGGGTTGCAGAAATCTTGTTGGGTTGCTGAAATCATGTTGGGTTGCAGAAATCTTGTTGGGTTGCAGAAATCATGTTGGGTTGTAGAAATCTTGTTGGGTTATAAAAAGGATGTTGGGTTGCTGAAATCATGTTGGGTTGCTGAAATCATGTTGGGTTGCTGAAATCATGTTGGGTTGCTGAAATCATGTTGGGTTGCAGAAATCATGTTGGGTTGCAAAATCATGTTGGATTGTAGAAATCTTGTTGGGTTGCAGAAATCATGTTGGTTTGGAGAAATCTTTTCTTTTTGCAGGCCACTGTGTCAATGACATGTTTACAGTTATGCTTTGGGCCACTGTGTCAATGACATGTTTACAGTTATGCTTTGGGGCCACTGTGTCAATTTTGTGTGCAATTTTTCTTGTTACAGTTAAGTAAATATGTGTTGCAGGATTCATGATGGGTTGCAGGATTCTTTTGGGTTACAAAAAATCTTGTTGGGTTGCAGAATTCTTGTTTTTGGCAGGATTCTTGTTGGGTTGTAGAAATCATGTTGGGTTGCAGAAATCATGTTGGATTGCAGAGATCTTGTTGGTTATTAGAAATCATGTTGGGTTGCAAAAATCATGTTGGGTTGTAGAAATCTTGTTGGGTTGCAGAAATCTTGTTGGGTTGCAGAAATCATGTTGGGTTGTAGAAATCTTGTTGGGTTGCAGAAATTGTTTCTTTTTTTGCAGGAATCGCGTTTGGTTGCAGAAATCATGTTGGGTTGCTGTAATCGTGTTGGGTTGCAGAAATCTTGTTGGGTTGCAGAAATGAAATCGTATTGGGTTATAGAAATCTTTTCTTTTTTTTTGCAGGATTCGTGTTGGGTTTCAGAAATCATTTTGGGTTGCAGAAATCTTGAATTTTTTGGTATATTCTTGATGGGTTGCATGATTCTTGTTGAAGAATTGTTGATGGGTTGCCAGATTCTTGTTGAGGTTCAGGATTCTTGTGGGGTTGAGGATTCTTGTTCTGTTGAATGATTTATGTTTGGTTTCAGAGATCTTGTTGGGTTGCAGGATTTTTGATGGCTTGCAGGTTTCTTGATGAGTTACAGTATTCTTGATGGGTTAC